ATTGAAAATATGAAATTTGTATATATTCAATTAGCTATGGAAATACATATTAATGGTTAAAAATTGCCAAATATTAAGAAAAAAATAAATAAAAGCATTCACATTGGTATATACAAAGTACATATGTATAACTAACAACTGCAGATGTAATAGATTGCAGTTATCGAAGTTAAAATATGTTGCAGCTAAAGAGTGAAATATATAATATATGATTAAAATGCAAAATAAATAAGTAATATAATAAAAAAAATAAATAGATATAAATAAATGTTACTTATTTTCGACTAAAATTATTCATGTACTTGATAATAATCGTATTAAGAATTAATATGCCTGTAAAAATATATACAGTTACAAATGTACATTGTACAATTACAATAACCTTGCATTAGTAATGTATTGAATTTGTTTTTATGTAACAAATGCTGTTTACTTTTTATTAGATTCAAAATGTGTATTTGAACGTCGTTTTATACTCGCTTTTATATAGTAGGTATTTAGTATTTCGGAGGACTTCGTTGTCAGTTGTAATTTTCAGTTTATCTAAAATTCCGAATAAAAGCATTTATGTACGAAGCATGTCGGTTGTACATCAAAAAATGTATATGCTTTTAAGGTTAGAAAACGTAACGGTAAAAATGGAATTTCTGAGGGTATAAATTAATCACATAAGTTATTTATGATATATAATATATGCTATAGATAATAAAGAAAATATATATGTTTAATAATATCGAATTTATAAAAACATTCTTCGGATTACTTTCAATTATCTAGATTTCTATTGTTTTAATAATAACGGAAAAATCTTGCAGTGTGGCGTTATTCTAAAGTACCAAATTATGCTGGGGGGAGTTTTTACTTGTAAGTATACTTATATACAATATATACATTTTGATTGTTGCTTGCTATGGGTATAAATTGAAAAAAGCTTCCATAGTGAAACTTTACTGATTCACCTTTCACATGTTTTAGGGAATGCTGTTGGGCTCACAATCCTTGCCATTGAACCTGGCATAACTGCACATATGTATGTAAGTAAAAAAATTAAATATTTTCAGCAAAAAAATATACTTTTTAAGAATGATTTAAAAAAAAGTTTATTATTAATATAAACAGAAATTGAACATAATTGAGGAATAAGTAAGTTATGTACAAGGTCTGGACATAGAAATAGCACAGTAGGTAGCGGTTTTGCGGAAATTAAGAAAAATTGATAAGAAATGTTTTAAGTGTGTCTTTGTAGTGCGCCCACAATTTTGCAAAAGTCATTCATCGTCATGGAAAGCTCTTCCCTAATTTCTGCCACCTGCTTTGTCTACAACATTTTTGAATTTTTTCTTAGCAATCTGCATCTAATGTCGTCCCATCAATTTTCAATAGGATTTGCGTCGGGACTTTGGACTGGCAAGCTCAGGACGTGAATACGTTCTGCAGTGAGCCAATTCTTCACATTTTAGCGTGCTTTGGATCATAATAAAAAATCCAATTCACAGGCATCGATGCGAACGAGACTTTCGGGGTGATGATGAGTCTATCAGCATGTTCCCTGGTTTTACGTGCATGATCTTTGCGGATTCTTTTTTTACTTTGCAGCATTCTCTGTCCATGACTGCATATACTTTTTAAACTAAGAAATCTATATTTCAAGTATGTAGACAGAACTGTGTAGTATGTATTCTACTACAACAAAAACAAGTAAGTACTCAAAAATTTACGTCAATATAATTGATTACTTTATTATTATTTTTTCTTTATCGCACATATATAATGGTTACTGATGTTAGATACATCTTTTTTACATAAATTCACATTACAAATACTTAAATACCTAATTAGAGTACATTATCTTATGCTCCTTCAATTGTTGGTTTATTACAAACATTGAAGTTTACCTACGCTAATGATTTTGTATTTCAAAATTGATTACCTTTTTTTTTACAAATTTGAAAGGAACACAGTGTAGGCTTAATTTATTTTAATTTAGATTCTGGATCGCACAGAATGTATTACATACTTTTTCGCTTGAATGTAAATATGAGTTTCATTTCGCGAAGCCAAAATAAATTCCACAGAATTTCAGTTAGTAATATTCTTCAACTGTAGACTCTATTTTGTTATTTCAAGAAAATTGCTCTCTAATTATAAAGTGCCTTGTCAACAACTATACCATTTTCTATAAGAAAGCTTTCTACGTCTGATGGAAAGAAATCATCTGATAAATCATCTGTTACGCGTACAAAATTACCAATTAACGCTTGAGCCTTATATACAAGCAGAGCGGGTAAGCCCTTTGCACGGAAATCGCGACTCATGCCAGCAACAGAGCTGCATATTTTGCCAAATTTTATTGACGGATACTCTGTTGCTAGTGTCTCAAGGCAATTATTCAAAGTCGAACAAGAGCTTATGCTCTTATCGTAAATATGGATTATAACGGTAGTATGTTTATTTTCTTTCTCCACAAAGTCTAAAAATTCATCGTGCATAGTTAAATTTATAACTTTACCAAATTGTTTTATATGACCACACTCTTTTAGCATTTCGGCCATACGTTGCTTTTGATATTGTTGCAAGAAATCTTCACTCATGAGTTCATCTAATTCAGCATCGATCTCTTCTTGACGCTTACGCTCCTCCTCTTCCTTGGCAGTGGCCGTTGTCATAGATAATTTTTTAGCCAATTCTATGCGTTGACGTTCAGATTCCTCTCTTTTCTCCGCTTGTAGTTGCTTAAAACGTTGCCAATCCTGCACTACACCTTTAGGTCCAGTGTTAGTGGAAAGTTGTGAACGATAACCTTCTGCTGGCGGAGGCGGACACACATCAGGATCGACATAGGCTGCGGTCCCTTGTTTACTGCCCTTAGAACGCCTTTCTTTACTTTCACCATCATCACCGCCTTCATCTTCACTACTGCTGCAATAGTATTCTAGCTTTTCTCCCATTAATTTATCTTCTAATGTTGCCATTTTTATTTCGTTACGTTATTAAAATTATTTATAACAATAACTTGATATTTCTAAATTTAATATTGTATTTACTGGTATATATTTCTTTCTCTAATGCAATTCTACTGCTGTAAGCAAATCAGCTGTTAATAAAGCCTGAACCACAAAGTAGTTCAGCACAGGGTGTTTGCCATGCAATATGTCAAGACTATTATTTTCAATAATCTCGTATGTCGTGTATTAACTGTATAAGTAATTTAAGAACCACTTCCGTTATGATTAAAGTAATGATGTGTTTTGATCAATTGTCCGTGTAATAATTTTCATTTTATTAAATACAGTAGTAAACTTTCATAAAGGATGCGCAGTCACATAAAATCAATGGTGGTATTCAAAAGCGATTTCTAAAATCTTTGGTGTGAGAAAATATAATATTATCCATATATTTCAGTGGACAGTGTGAATTCAACATCGTAATTATTAATATTAATGTAAATATTTAGAGTTTTAAAAATATTCCCAATATGGAGTGAATTTTTTAATTTCCGATTTCATATTATTCTTATATGTTTTTTACATTGTGTGTTGATCGAATTATTCTGAAGACTTCCAATAGCTTTTCTGGAATCGAAAAATGCGATAACCGTTCTTCTAAACTACCGAAGTCCGCCTTTTCCAACTGTAAAATATATACTTATCGTTATAATAAAATAGTTCAAAATTCGATAATTCTAGTTAAGTCAAAATAAATATAATACCTACCAAGATCAATTCTCTATTCTTTACTATTCTTTTAATTTCAGTTTGTAGTTAATTTAAAATAACACGAGCTTTGCCAATTCAGATAATGTTAATAATTTATTTAATAATAAATCATTTATTAACATTCTCTGTTTTCGCCTTCTCTATTTATTAACATTCTCTGATAATGTTGTTTTTAAGGAATTTAAATCCATTAACCCGAACTGTTAAATGACTACCCGGCTATATAGAATATATTTTGAAACATCCCAAATCCCCCGTAAATTTGAAGATTTCCTGTTTGCAATTATATTTAGTAAAACTAAATTAAATACCTCATCACATGAGTCCGACCCATTGGAATTTTTCAGTGCCAATCGTTCAGCAAATGACACAACGCCACACCATGTACGAAAATCAATTTCCTTAGAGGGTTCTTCCTTCTCATATTCTATTAAAAGTAATATATCCGATATATTTTGCTCTGTACCATAAAATTCTAGAACGTCTTCTAATGCTTTCGGAAAGAAGCTGAGTGGTATTTTACGTTCTACATATTCGTTTAGTACCGGGAACGAGTCGTCATCGGCTTTACCATCATTCTTTACTATATTGTCTGTTGCTTCATCGTGTTCAATTACTTCTGTCGGCAAATATTGCAGGAAAACTCGTTTAAAGAGCTGCTTGCGTTGGTTACAGACCCACACATAATTGCCTAGATAATCTAAAACGGTCATTTCTGAAAATAAATTTAAGGTTAACAATATGTTTTGTTGGCATTTAATGAACAGAAGCGAACCCTCAAGTAATTTCGGATCCAACGGTACATCAAATCTTGTTGCTGACTTTGAAAGCTTCCGTGGCAATTTGGCCTTAAAAGTGAATGACGGATTTTCATATTTATCAACAACTCTCTTGTTCGGATTTGATTTCTTCTCAGGTAAATACTTAAAAGCCTCACGTAAAGCGCGGTTCAACTGAGTTAAGGGAGCAAATTGTAAAAAGTTCTATTTCTCTACTTCAGTGAGACTTACATATTTATCAAACGTGTTTTCGATAACATCGATATCCAGTTCAGTTTTTAATGCTTCAAAAGCTTCGTCCGTTAGAAAACTGCCTTTTAAAAGTATTGGTTCACTCTCACGTTTTTCTTTGCTTGGCAGCAAACTCGCTGCATTCGGTATAAGACTTGGACGTGTGCTGGGGTTCAGTGAGTCCGGACCGAGCGCAGCCACTTGTGTTTCTGGATCTTCGCTAAGGTGAAATGTAGTTGTGGCAGCTAAAAATAAGTACTTAATTAAGCGTTTTCTTTACAAAATGCTCAAATATAACGAACTTGTAGTGGGTTTTAATTTTTTTCTCTTCTTGCCACGACGTATGTCCTCGTCATCTATATGTTGTTCATTAATGCAAGTTTTTACTTTCCTTAAGTCCACTCTTTCCATATCTTTCACCCCATCACCAACTTGTACATTACCCAAGGAGGTATTAGGCCGCATTTCTTCGCTACGTAAGTGCTTGTTTTTGCGCTCCTCATTTGCACCGGCACTCTTAGGCTTAAGACCACCGGTGTCGGTGTTGCTTTGTGACATATCCGATGAGGGTTTCCAATAAAGCGTTTCCTGTGAGTGTGTTCTTCGCAGATCCAATATAATTTTTTTTCTCTTGATTATCTCATTTTTGCCGAACTCAGGTGTTATACAACGTCGATTGTTCAAAAATGAACTTGCACTGTTTCTAGTGTGTACACTGGTAATTGTCGGAGTTGGCGTCATCGGACGTGAGTCTGTGTCCGTGTATCGTCGAAAAAGGTCTTCCGGTATATTGTCGGTATCATGAAGTGGTGTCGTAAAGTTTTTATCTTTCTGCAGTTGAACACTTTTGCCATCCACTGTCTGAAATATAATTACAGTTAATCCTACCTAATATGCAAGAAACCAAGACACAGCTTACCAGTGAAGTTTTTATTTGACTTATAATATTTTTCAAGTCTGGTGGTGCTGGATGGTTACATAGTACCGAACAGCCCTTGGCAAATGGATTGTACAATTCACCCAGTGGTCGTAATGATAGAACTACTGGAGAAGCTTCAAATTTGAGTGGTAAGTCACCAGTATATTTCTTCCGCTTTTGATTAAGCGATGAATTTTATAACAGTGGAATACGGCTGTCTAATACAAATATCTACATATTCTCGAAATCTTTCTCCCTTACCTTTTCTTTTATTACGAAGTTTCTCTTCTTAGCTGGCACCAAGCCAGTCCTGCTTGTTGTATTCATTGCTGATTCAAATCACTAACTAAAGCAAAAATATAATTTTGTTTGATTTATAAACATAGTTTGTTGCCAAGCTAGTACGCCGATGTTAATTCATTGAATATTCACATATAATTCTACACACACATAGGCTAAAAAGTCTACAAATTAGGCGTTTGTTTCCATCTTGACCCTTTCATTTGAGAAAGTTTTTTTTTCAACGCGATACTTTTTGAGTCTGGGTGAGAGGAAATAGTCGCTGGTGTCAAACATTGGGTCGAGGACTTCTTCATAGCGAAATCCTTTCAATTCATCAAAATTTAGAAGCGGAATGAGTCGAAATGTTGTGTTGGTAAGAGAGCAAAGCGGTACCCACCACGCGCAAACCGCTGCCATGTGTCAAAACTCATGAATGCTATGACCATCGTGTTTTTTTGAGATGCTAACCCCTCCAATACAATTTTAGGAAAATTAAAACTAAAAGAATGTTAAAGGTCGAAGCACCTTGACACCAATAAGTTGAGAAGGATTGAAGGAAATATTCTGAAACATAAACGGTGTTCTAACTAAGTTGAGTACTTTAAGACTAGTAGCTAACAGTTTATTTTGACTATCGATTGAAATGCAAAATTTCACTTAATATAGCTACATAATGATATAAGTTAAATAATTATATTTTATTAATTGTTTTTAAAAAGCTGGCGGAACTTTGTCCGCACATCACTTATTTATTTTGAATCCAACTTAAGACTAATTACAATTATTAGCTTAACTTAAAATTACACCTACTATTGGCCACACTCACGTTGCACTTTAATATGCGCCCTATTTGTTGTTATTGCAAAATCGATATTTTTGCTGATCGTTGTTTACTTCAATTTATTGATATTTAGCTGACTATTGTTTTAGTGTTATTTATTAATAGTTTGCTGACTGTTGTTTACGCAAATTATGTTGAGGTGTCAGTAATTATGCGAATGCGCGTGTAGAATGGTTGACCATTGGCAAAATTCAACCTAGTTGAACTTTTGCAAGTTTCGGAGTTAACTCTTCCCCCTTTAAAGATGATCGTCCTCGATCATTTAGTAGAACGGTAAGTTATTGAAACTTACATATGTGGGAGTGTAACTAGTAGTGCCTGGCGTATCTTCTTGGCTTGTTTCAGTTTGCACTGGCTTTATGACCTCTTTTCCCACATATTGGATTTTTACGGAACGTTTCTTTAGGATGTAAATAATTATTATAATTATTGGAATTGCTGTCATTGTTAGGCCTCCGAGGGAAAATGTAGCATTTTTAATATAACTGATTTCGTCTGCGTTTTTGATGTGCAGATCTTTCAGTGCCTCTAGAGAGAGGAGTTCTATGTGATCTTTTTCTAGTGGGATCGGTTGAAGAATTGTGGGGATAGTTTCTATAGTTCCTGCTTCAATATTACTGAATTGCTGGTCGTTTATTTTAATTGTTGAGTTATTGAATATAATGACATGAGTACCATTAATTGGTTGGGATATTTCGTCAGCTACTAATCTGCCGTCAAATCGATTGAGCAATATTACTCCTTGTTTAACTTCTTCTAATGTAGGGACGTGGTGGCCATTTGTTGTTGAACAAGTTGAGTTCAAGCTATAAATAATTCTAGCTATACATTAGTTAAAGGTATTTTAACCATATACAAAATTTTCATTTCATTATTTAGAACATTTACTTTTGATAATTCTAGTGCTTCTTCGGCACTCTTAAATGGTATTTCATCTTCTTTTAGTTTATTAATTGATAATTCTAATTCCTCTTTACTTAATATTACGGAATTTATAATATTTTCTTTTGCCCATTGGATGGCATATCTAATGTTTATTAATTCTTCTTTAATTAATCTAATCCTATTTTGTAAATTTATTATAATTTCCGTTATATTATCTTCATATTTTCTAATTGTATTTATCATCTTGTTCATAATGTGGGTTATGTTATTTATTCGTTTTTCGAATAATTTATTTATTACTACTTGTTTATTATTATTTTTATTCAAATTTTCTAAGTTATTTATAATTATTTCAAGATCTTCGTGATCGGGAGATCCGGCTATGTATTTCCATGCCGTTCCTAATATGTTAAATGATTTTTTTCTTCTGATAGATTTTGAGGGTTTTAGAGCGTTTAGAATTTCGAAGGTTTGGATGGTTTCATGTTTTAGAATGGGATATAGGAGGTGGTTGTTAGGGATTTGGTTGATCATTTCTTCATATGTATCTGTTAAAAATTGTTCGTATTTCTCTAAGTCGATGAGATGAATGAATCTGAATGTACCGTTTTGAATTTTTGCTTGTCCATTGTCTATCGTCACTAGTTGGGATTTGCTATAGTCTAAAACTTGTACGTCCGAAGAGGAAGTTGTAATGAGAGTGAGTATGATAAAAAGTATATATTGGTCCATTTTCCTAAAAGAAAAAGGAAAAATTTTAGTTATTTATTAGAGATTTGTGGATTGTTCGTCCCGATACTGTTTTAACTATCGTCCTGTGATTTTCAGAAACCGTTTCTTTTTTATATTTTGGAGTTAATTTGGATCCTAGTCTTTTATTGATTATAACGTAAATGACTTCTCCTGGTGAGAAGTTTTTGTTTTCAGTCCTATTTTTGTTATGATATAAGAGATCTAGTTCTTGTTTTTTCTTGAGTAAGGCAATGTTATCCTGTCTTTGTTGTTCTAGCTGTTGTGGGTCACTATAAATTCTATTTCCAAAAAATATTTCTATTGGTTTACTTTTTGTCGTTGAGTGTATTGAGGAATTGTATTCTTGAACTGATTTGAATAGTAATTCTTCAAATGTTATTCCTGCGTAATTTGCTTTTAGGCATCTCATTATTTCTGACAGTGTACTATGGAATCTTTCTATTTGTCCATTGCTTGTACTGCTATAAGGCGGAGTGGTGTAAACGTTGATGGACATTTGGCCTTTAAGTAGGTATGATATGGTAGCGGAATTAAGGGACTTTTCGTTATCTATTACTACGAGTTTCGGAATTCCGAAGGCGATCATTAATTCTCTGATTGGGTCTTTAATGTGCTCTATTGCTCTGGAAGGTATCACTTTTACCTGGACGTATTTAGAAAATTTGTCAATGGCGGTGAGGATTAATTTCTTATCCGTGGAATATATGTCAACATGAACTATTTCGCCTGGTGATTGTGGAATAGGGGTTTCTTGTATTTGAGGTTTAGGGGGGTGCCTATCGTATTTATGTTCGCGGCATGTGGAGCATTGTCTGACCGTTTTTTCGATTTTCGAATGCATGCTTGGGAAGTAGAATTTCTTTAAAATTTGTGCTTTATTTTCGCGACTGTTTCTGTGTGCTCTTTGATGTTCGCTTGCGATTATTTCTTCTTGCTCTGTTTCGTTTGTTATATCCTGGAGCAAGGTTTGCGTAAAGCGTATTTTGATATTTCGGAAGTGTAGTGGATTTTGTTACTCAATGCAAAAGTAAGCGGTTGGTGATCTGTGAAAATTACAACTTTCGCTGACCCATACAAATAGTTTCTAAGTGAGGTGAGAGCCCAGATTATTGCCAGCATTTCTTTTTCGTTCGCGGCATAATGTTCTTCTGTTTTATTGAGTGATCGGGATATGAAGGTTATTGGTTTTCCTGATTGTTCAAGGACAGCACCTAGAGCGTAGTTTAATGCGTCAGTAGTGAGGTGAAATTCTTCTTTGAAATTGGGATAGTGTAGTATGACTTCGTTTGATGTTAGCGCGGATTTAATTTTATTGAAAGCGGTCATGGCGTTACTGTCGAACACAACCGGCTTTTTACTGGAAGAATTTTTGGACACGTGTCCATCTTCCCCTCTCAAAAGCGAGGTCAGGGGTTTTGCTAATTTAGCATAATCTCTGATGAAGCGTCGATAATAGCCAGATAGGCCAAGAAAAGATCTTAAGTCCTTCAACGTTTTTGGGCAAGGAAAATCTTGAATTGCCTTTACTTTCGTGGGATTGGTTTTTAATCCTGTGGGAGAGACAATGAAACCTAAAAATTCTACTTCTCTCTTGAAAAATTCACATTTGTCCAACTGAACCTTCATGTTCGCTTTTTCTAGCGTATGGAAAATTGTTTCGACATTTTCTAGGTGGCTTTGGTCGTTATTGCCAAATACTATTATGTCATCTATGTAGACATAACATATTTTACCTATATGATCTTTTAGGATGTCGTCTAGCGCTCGTTGGAAAATAGCGGGTGCATTTTTCAACCCGAATGGAAGTCTGGTGAATTCGTACTTTCCGTTATTGATAGAAAATGCTGTCTTCTCAATGTCGGATTCTCTTAGTGGAATCTGATGGAAGCCACTCTTCAAGTCAAGAGCGGAAAAGTATTTGTTATTTCCTAGTTGTGAGAGAACCTCATTAATTTCTGGGATCGGGTATCAGTCGGCTATTGTTAATGTATTTAATTTTCTGTAATATATTACTAATCTGTATTTTCTTTGGCCTGATGCATCTAATTTTTTTGGTACAACCCAAACGGGTGAGTTATACGGTGAGCAGGATGGATGAATAATCCCGTCCTTTAGCAAATTTTGTATTTCTTGGGAAACAAAATCTCTCATAGCAAGAGGATATGGATAGTATTTAGTATAGACTGGAGTATCTGAGGAAGTCCTGATCTCTCCTACAACTGTAGTGGTGTATGTTAGTTTTTCGTCAGGTTCTGTAAAAAGATGTGGATATTTTCTTGTCAACTGAATTATGTGTTGTTTTTGTGTAGCTGTCATATGGTCAGTTCTAACGTCAATTTGATTAACTGTAGGTGAGAGTTTTTGTTTAATTTTAATTTGTAACCCGTTATCTATTGTCAAGGTGTCATCCCGTATGTTGACTGTTGCATGAAGGTCATTTAAGCTGTCGTTTCCTATTATTCCGTCAAAAGATTTTAGAGTGGGGAGTAAAAAAAATTTGAGGGATGTGCCAGTTTTTCCAAATAAGTTTATAACTGTATGGTGGGTAATTTTGATCTGTCCAGCGATAGAATTCGCAAAGAATGGTTCGGCGTTAGGTATTGTCCTTGGGACATGGCAAGGTTGTATGTAATTCTTGCTTGACCCCGTATCAATCAACATTTTCAGAATTTTTCCGTTCTTCGTTTTGCATTCGATGTAGGGTAACGAAGAACTGTTCATTCTAAAAAATGGATATCAATATAATCCTGCATCTCAGATTGTGGGTTTCCCTCGCCATATTCTTGAGCTGGTGGCCCATTTTCTTCTGATGTGATGTCAATGCAGTTTCATATTCCTGTTCAGTAGGAGTCCAGTCTTGCTGATAGTGTTTGTCCGTATCATACTGTGGGTCTTGTGGGTATTCCTGTTGGTAATTATGTTGTGCACCGGTTTCGATATGGAAGTTCCTTTGTTGTTTTAGAGGTATTTGTTGTGAAAAGTTGGATGGTCTTTTCACGCCGTTATTAGCTACGGGTCTATTCATGTAATTTATAGCTCTAGAATGAAGAGTTTTGTCGACGTCCATTGGTTCTGGTCGTGGGAGTTGAAGCTTAGCAGAAGCCTGTTGCCCTAATGGTCTATATTGTTGAAAATTACGGTAATTATTGAAAGGAGCTTGAGGGCGATATTGATTCGCAAAGTTTTGTGGTTGCATTTGGGGTCTTGGCATATATGCCAATTGGGGATAAAAGTCGTTAACCGTTTTTCTGGGTGGGAGGGGTGGTCGGAAATCGTGAGTCTTCCTATTTTGACTTAAAGCGTAGTGAGAACGAAAGTTTTGATTCTCTAGCTTAAGACAAAGGTGGAGAGCTTGCGGAAGGTCTACCGGTTCTCTCATGCCAAGGAGTCTTGGAAGGTCACCTTTCAGTCCTCGTATAAACGTGTCGAGGGCTTTGTCCCGGTATGTTTGAGTAAGTAGATGCATGGATTCCGCACTAACGTCCATGCAGCCAAGCTTGTTTAGGATAAGAGAAAGATGGGAATAAACGCGTTGATAGAATTCTTGAATGGTGAGGTTGCCCTGCGCTAAAGACGTCATTTGATACTCTAAGGTACCTATATCCCGCTTATCGGCGTAATGAAGGGTAAGGCATCTAGAGATGGCTTTCCAATCCAGAGGTGTGTTCTAGGATTCGAGGGCAATGTCAGCGTTGCCCACTACTTTATTCCTTACAACAATAAGAATGCCGTAATATTTCGGAGTTCCTTTAAGGGGTTCGTAGATTTGCAGAATACGATCTACGCTTTTCTTCCAGGAGTTTTATTCCCCTGGATTACCTGAAAACTCACGCAGGCATCTAACTACGTCTGGTATTTTGTCGAGTTCTGTTATGTTGTTTGAAAGACTTTGGTCGATGGTTACATCGGAAATGTTAGAGAAATTGGCATTCGGATTGAGAGCCGCCTGTACCATATTTCTTCCTTCTTGCCTTAGAATGTTACTAACAAGCCCTGTCACTATGTTTGTTAATTGATCCATATTAAATGAACCTGAAGAAGAGGCAGTTGGTTGAGGAGATGGGTTAGGTGTATGTGCATTTAGCACAACAGGTCGAACTAAATTGTTAGGGTTTGACATAACTCAAAAGATTTTTTTTTTTTATTTTAGCTTGTTATTGTTAGATATTTTCAATGATTTTATTTTATATGGGTTAGGTGTCCTTATACTCTGGAGGGTCCCTTTGGTGGTGAATCGCAGAGTTGGACTCTAGTTATTTAGAACCGGAAGGTCCCCCGTTAGGTGGTGAATCGCGGTTCTTTTTTTTTTATTCTTGTAAGTTATTGGCTGTACGAGCCTTTTTTTATTTTGTTTTATAATTTATAATTCTCTGGAGGGTCCCTTGGGTGGTGAATCGCAGAGAATTTTATTTTTATAAGCTGGAGGGTCCCCCCGAAGGTGGTGAATCGCAGCTTGTATTTTTATTTTTTTTTATTGGCTGCACAAGCCTGTTATTATTTATATGTATTATTTAGGGTTAGTAAATATACAGGTTTTAGATTTACATTTAATTAATAGTAAGTCGCAAGACAGAATATTTTTAAATTCTTAAAACTTTCTTTAAATATTTTTTCTTTTCCAGTTTCTCTCTTACTTTGTTTTATTTTAATGCTTACAGTCGCAAGACAGAATATTTTTGAAATTCTTAAAACTTTCTTTAAATATTTTTTCTTTTCCAGTTTCTCTCTTATTTCTTTACTAATATTTTTATTCTTAAATTTTATTCTTAAGTTTATTCTTACTCTATTCACTTCCTGGCGGTGGGGTGTGACTCCTTTTTGCTATCGGCTACTCCGGCACCTCCAAATCGTCGCACATTGGAAGCGTGCGTTCGTTTCCTATAGGAATCCAACGCTGGACCGGCTCTAGGTTCGCGTTCTTGGTGTCTATTATTCCACTTTACTTAACACACGATTTAGAAAACTTTAGCGAACTTTAACCCGGTCCCTGCTCGCCAGTTAAATAATTATATTTTATTAATTGTTTTTAAAAAGCTGGCGGAACTTTGTCCGCACATCACTTATTTATTTTGAATCCAACTTAAGACTAATTACAATTATTAGCTTAACTTAAAATTACACCTACTATTGGCCACACTCACGTTGCACTTTAATATGCGCCCTATTTGTTGTTATTGCAAAATCGATATTTTTGCTGATCGTTGTTTACTTCAATTTATTGATATTTAGCTGACTATTGTTTTAGTGTTATTTATTAATAGTTTGCTGACTGTTGTTTACGCAAATTATGTTGAGGTGTCAGCAATTATGCGAATGCGCGTGTAGAATGGTTGACCATTGGCAAAATTCAACCTAGTTGAACTTTTGCAAGTTCCGGAGTTAACTTATAGTCTGGTAATACCAAATGTGAATTCTAATGTTGGATAAATCCCAGCAAGTCAAGGCTACGGAAACTGCAATGCATTGAAGGAATTAACGCGGAAACTAACACATACACACCGTGCAACTCATAAGCCCAATGAGTAAGAAAGGGATGAACGATCACACGTATACAAGAGTTTCGTTAGAATTGTCAATTGGGCCTTAATAAACTTTAATAGAAATCTCTGATAGCGCTGTTGGGCAATTAACCGGTGATATAACCGCTAGGCTGGCTTGCAGGGATGGTAGCCTTAAAATCATCTTTTCATTCTTTGCTTGGTTGCGCGCATTTGGCTTAAAATTCGTAAATACAGACAATTTTTAAAATAATATACAAATTATTAAATTTAACTATTATTCTACACTTTATTAGGTGTTGGATGCGTTAGAAGGAATGTTGCGAAAAAAATTTGGTAAGCATTTCTAAACCTGTTATTCATACAACAGCCGCAGTTTAGAATTTTGAACGCCACGGTTTTCCAGTATTTTAATAAGCATAAAGAATCGTGGAATAATAAAATTTGTTAAGAAAACTCCATTTTATTTAGTACTCCTGATTTTGGAGAATAAAATTATGAAATTTAAACATATTATGTGAACATTATGTTATGATCGAATTTCACAATATACAATATATTCATACATACTCATACACCCAGAGGCATTAGTCGGTCTATAGTCCATATAAATGAATATCATGTTAATCAATTTTAATTTTACAGAGTCGGAAAGAATGTTTAGCCAGGTTGGATTGCTAATATCAGATAGGAGAACAGCACTAAAGACTAAAAATGTCAACAAATTACAAAACCAGTGGATTATTGAGAAATAAAGTACTCTACCGAAACGAATTTTAAGCATAAATTTCTTGATCTCATATTACATTAGTGAATGTATACAAAATGTATATTTTATAACTCGTCAAATCTTAGAGCAGTTTATATAGTAACATGAAAAATTTGATATGTAACTTTATTAACTTATTTGTGTTTTCCGTCATTGTTCATGTTTTGTTTTAAAAATAAATCCAGAGGCTTTTTAATAAAAATGAAATGTACAAAGCCAAGGTTTCTTGATTTAAACCAGCGAAAAGTAAGTATATTTTAAAGGGGGAGAACTATTTGCTTAAACTATCGAGTAGTGCGGCTATCGATAGTTTTGCAACTCTAGTATAAAGATTAGAGGAACATTTCTTCAATGTTTGGTACCGAACCACAAAAAACGAAAGAAGTCAACCCTCATCTAAAATTGACTATGTGACTAGGAGAAGATCTAGTCTGGTCTCGAGAAAATATTTTTACCAAGATTTATTAAGAGTCATTGAATGTACAATAGTATATAGGGGTAGGAGTAATTCAACAATGGATTTTTCAAACTTTTCGCTACAAAACTTCTGTGTATAGAATATATTTTCACTTAATTTTGTTAAGATATCCTATATATTAACCGATATACATATAAGTTATAAAGTCAATCTCAATTTCATAGATCATTGCAATAGGTGTATGGGGTCCGAAAGAAATACCAAATTTATTTTTTACAACAGATCACATTATAATTAGGAAAAAATTTTCATATTATTTCATTGGGAAATCTAAGAAATTTACACATTATATTCAACAGGCTGTATTTCAGTGAAAAATGGTCGTACAGGAAATAAAAAAACCCTGATTTTGAAGCCTGAAGACTCTAGTTTAAGAATTTTTTGGTTAAAAATTTTTTTGAGCCCCAGTAGCCATGAAATTCTTGGATAAAGCACGAAAAAAATATTTTCAAAATGTTTTTCATTTTTGTTTTCGCTCTACGGGCATGACACAAATTTTCCGAGCTAAACCAATGTATAGGTCGCATAGCTGGTTAATTCAGCTTCAATTTGATTTTTGCAGAAGTCAGATACGAGCATTTGTCTTCGAGATATCGAATTTTGAATGCAAAAGGATCCTTTTTCACTCAACTGCCGATATCTCTGAAACTACTGGTCGCCTGGCAAGTAGACGGGCGGTTTCGTTTTCTTCACAAAATTTCCTACAAAAATCTGTTATGGTTGATTGAAAAAAAAATTTTTTTCCACCTGAAACGGTAACGTAAAAAAACAGCAAAAAAATGCCATTTTCTCCTTATTTGGTTAATCGCCTGTGTCTTCGACAATATTGGGGCAAAAGCTTAGGTTAGAAGAAAATATTATAGTCTAATGTACCCCCAAGACCCCCTTAAATTTTTTTTAGACCGATCGGTTCAGCGGTTTACCCGGACCGATTGATTGAAATTTTGAAAAAACGCCAGCATTAGCGTTATCCAAACCATACCACGTGGAGGTTGCACGGTCGGATTTACGCTTCTTTTGAGAAAGAACGATTATTTTCTCAGGGATTTTTTTGTACGTGCCATTACGCGTTACAAAACAGTTTTTTTCAAAACTAACTCTTTTTCGATATTTTGGCACTGCAAGAACGATTATTTTCTCAGCGATTTTTTTTACGTGCCATTACGCGTTACAAAACAGTTTTTTTTCAAAACTAACCCTTTTTCGATATTTTTAAAGAAGAAATTACTGATAGCAGATTTTAAAATTAGATCCGTGCCATAATGCCTCCCGACGACATTTATCTGCCCCAGAAGTCGTTCGGTTTGTGACTCTTGTTCAGGGGGGGTACAGATATCGGCAGGTAGGTGAACAACTCGGTGTAAGTGCTTCGGTTGTGTCTCGTGCTTACAACTGATTTCTGGAAACAAACGGATATGAACGACGTGCTGGACAAGGTCGCCATCGAGCAACGACTCGTCGAGATGACCGAGCAATCATTCGACAGGCTATCCAAGACCCTTTTGCTCCAGCCAACGTCATCGCTCGAAACTTTCCAAACCGTCAACAACAACGACAACGACAGCCGCGAAACATTTCTCGATCAACAGTCAGAAATCGTCTTCGCGTATCTGGACTCCGTGCTAGAACTGCTGCTCGTGGACCGATGTTGACCGTTGCACATCGTAGAGCTCGTCTGCAGAATGCTCGCGACCATGAGAAATTGGAACAACGTTTTTTTCTCTGATGAGTCTCGGTTTTGCCTGTATGGTAACGACCGGAGACCTCGAGCTTGGCGTCGTACAGGTCAACGTTAACGTCCCGTAGTTGCTTACGGTGGAGTGATGATGATTTGGGCTGCAATTTCAAGGAATTCTCGAACTCCTTTAGTAATTGTTCGAGACAATCTCAATGCTAGGCGCTATATCGACCGAATATTGCGACCTAACGTGTTACCTCTAGAAAGAAACAGGAGAGGATTTATTTTTATGCAAGATAATGCTAAGCCTCATACAGCCAATATTACACGCCGATTTTTTCAGAGAAACAGCATTACATTGTTGAGGCATCCTGCAATGAGTCCTGACCTGAATCCCATAGAGCACGTCTGGGACATATTGGGCCACCGATCGCGTCAAAAGTATCCGAATCTGAATAATTTGCCAGCATTAGAGAACGCTTTGATAAGAATTTGGCGCCAGATCCCTCAACAAATAATCCGAAAATGCATTTCGAATATGCGACAAAGATTGCAAGCTGTAATTAGGAGTAGAGGCGGAAACACTCGGAACTGAATACGAGACACACACACACACACTTTAGAAAATGAGTTTGGAGTCGCAAAATACTGTGAAACTGACGAACCACGGGGTCTCATTTTTTCGAAAAATCATTAATACACGTGCGTAAGCACAAAAGAAGCGTAAATCCGACCGTGCAACCTCCACGTGGTATGCTTTGGATAACGCTAATGCTGGCGGTGAATCAATCATCAATCAAAATGTTTGTCAAAAACTTTGAATTTCTTAAAAACGAAAAAAAAAAATTTTTTCAAGTTTTTTGTAAGTTTTCAAAAAAAAAATTCGAAATTTTCGAATTTTTGAAAAAAAAGTTTTGGATTTTTTTTTCATATATTCATATAAAAATCTCAAAATTGAGTAAAAAGTCGAAAAAAAAATTAAATTATTGAATTTTAAAAAGATTAGGTCAAATTTAAGAAACAAAATCTTGTTCCCTTAATTTTTTCAAAATTTCAATCAATCGGTCCGGGTAAACCGCTGAAACGATCGGTCTAAAAATTCAACGGGGTCTTGGGGGTACATTAGACTATAAAATTTTCTGCTAACCTAAGATTTTGCCCCAATATTGTCAAAGACACAGTCGATTAACCAAATAAGGAGAAAATGGCATTTTTTTGTTGTTTTTTTACGTTACCGTTTCAGGTGGAAAAAAAATTTTTTTTCAATCAACCATAACAGATTTTTGTAGGAAATTTTGTGAAGAAAACGAAACCGCCCGTCTACTTGCCAGGCGACCAGTAGTTTCAGAGATATCGGCAGTTGAGTGAAAAAGGATCCTTTTGCATTCAAAATTCGATATCTCGAAGACAAATGCTCGTATCTGACTTCTGCAAAAATCAAATTGAAGCTGAATTAACAGGCTATGCGACCTATACATTGGTTTAGCTCGAAAAATTTGTGTCATGCCCGTAGAGCGAAAACAAAAATGAAAAACATTTTGAAAATATTTTTTTCGTGCTTTATCCAAGAATTTCATGGCTACTAGGGCTCAAAAAAATTTTTACCCAAAAAATTCTTAAACTAGAGGCTTCGGGCTTCAAAATCAGGGTCTTTTTATTTCCTGTACGACCATTTTTCACTGAAATACAGCCTGTTGAAAATTGGCAAAAAATTTGCAAAATTTTTTTGTTCCTTTAATTTGTGCGAGAAGAGTAAAGTCAAATATGAGTTGGGAGCTTCTTACATTCGGTATCTGTGGGCTCGCGAAGATAGTATCCGATTTAAATAATTTTTGAAGAGCGCATTATTTATGAAACGGTTTACTCATATACCTTCACTGAAGTAGTCCAGGATTTGGCAATTAAATATTATGTTATATGGGACGTAAGCGTGGTTGTTGTGCGATTCCACACATTTTCAAACTGTAATATAAGGGGTCAATGTATTTCTCTGTCAAAAGCTCACCAAAAACAGGCGTAACCCATATTTCCACGACCATCTTTGGATCGTAGTGAAACAAGACCCACCTAGCTGTAGGCGGACATAATTTTCTAGAATTACATACATATTTAAAGTGTACATTTAATATTTAACGTAATTTGATATGTTTTTGGCAACAGGAAACAAAACATATTTTATGTTTAACGGGGAAACCAACAAAACCGAAGCATAAAGAGTATTCTACAAATATGCTTCTGAAATGAGAACAAAATAAATACAAACACATTAACTTAAATATAGACGTAGCAAACAAGTAGCTGCGTCAATGCGAATATAAGCAAAAGCGACAAAGTATGTACAACTAATTAACAACAACAACGGCGGAGAGCTCAAAGGAAATAGCCGCTGCATTTGTCGTTTTAGAGAAAGAATTGTACTAACAATAGTACAAGAAGTTTGCAGAGATTTTAATTTAGACGTGAGGGCACCTAATGCGTTGGGTCTGGCAGCCACACTGTGCATTTGGTAGTGAAAATTCAAAGTGAATGGTTTATGTACAAATTTGTGTGAGCGTTTGTATACGTGATTTATTTAAAAAATTGCATAAGGTGTCATATTTTTCAATATTTTAACCGTTATGGATGGGAAACCGAAGAAAACGCGCCAACGGAATCGACCAAGAAATAAAGCAAATCGCTTAAAGGATGATATCGGTCAGACATCGAATAGTGCATTAAATAATACTGAGAGTGTAGGAGTAAATGGCTTTTTAAATATTGCGGGTCAGCAAAAAATACTTGTTAACGAATGTGTCAATGAGAATTACGAAGCGCAAACAGGGGTCACCACGAATAATAGTGAATTGGCAACGCAAACACTGCATGATACGGACAAAGACTTGAGATTACTGCAACAAATGATGCGCGAAAAGCTTCTACAGCAAAATAAAAAGAGCGATAAAGACAATCCTGATACAAAAGGCACAGCAAAGGTCGATAGAAAGGGTCAAAAGAGTAGTGCTAGCTTGAGCAAAGGCAAAGAAAGTGGTAAAACGACAAATGGGAAAACGGCTACGACAAAGAAAAGCCCGTCAGATAACAGTTTACAAAAGCAAAGTGCATTTGTTGCGAGTTTGCAGAGGAAATTAGAGAATTCAGTGGCAAACGGTTTGTTACCAGAATTCTTAGCTGCCTGCATTTATATAAAAAGTTGTGTATTTGTAAATTTTGTCTACAGGTATCACCGATTTACCTAACAATTTGTTGGAAAGCCTGCAAAAATTGCTGCATGAGGGACCAATAAGTGATGTGGAGTCCTCAGACGACGAAGAGGATTACATCGAGTATATTTATAGACCTCGAGAATATTTTTTGGTAGCCCTTTGTAATGTAAGTATTGTTATTACCAATGAATGTACTTATTTTCTCACTATTCTTTTATAAATTTTTCAGTTTTGTAAAAATGAGCTGATAGCTGAAACGAAAATCGCCTGCAAACGTTGTAAATTGACATATTACTGTTCGGGCCAGCATATGAAGTGTGATGAACAACATCGGCAGATTTGTTACGCATTGCAACAGGTGGCAGATAACTGTGGTAAACAACAATTATTTCCCATGCATCCAACACAAATACACAGTGATAAAACATGCATACAACCACACTTTCCAGAATTTGTCAATAAAACACACAACTATTATTTAAACATTCCAATTATATTTTATCGTCTTTAATATATTTCAACTCGTATTAATAATAAACCTCCATCTGACGTTACAAACAACTGTAGGTCTATATATGGCGTGAAAGCCAGCCAGCGTAACCTAACATAACCTAATATATTTCAACCTTAAACAATATTCCCTTACCTTTACATATTTTTTAACTATCCAAACCATTTTCGCTTAATAGAATGAAGTAGGCAATCTGGAGGGATAACTTATTTATTTTTTATTGCCCTTGGAATATGAAGTTGACGTTTTCACCTGAATAAAGTATATATATTTTTTTCTTTTATTCAACAATAATAATATTTTTACAAACTCTTAAAACTTGTAAAATTTTAATTTCTGGTGCTTGGCCCCTCTTACATAAAACACTAGAGATACTTCAACCAGACTGAGTGAGCTCTTTTTGTTACAGTGTGAAAATGGGAAAATCGGATGATAACCACAGCTCACTACCATATAACGGTTATGTTCGATTCTCCTAATTGGGCGTAGTTGAAATTTGTGGACGATACGACTTTCCGTTCGTTGACTTTATACTATATGAAGTTAACCCTTTCTTAAATATTTTTTATTAAATTTATTTTATCTAAAAACTTGCGTGCACATATTTTCCTAAATTATCCATTTTTGACTTACGATTGCGGTTCAAAAGGTACTTATCCAACAAAAGTAAACGAATATCTTGGAAAAATTTCGATTCAATAGTCAAAGCTTCCTTTTAGCTCTATACACTTGACCCAACGATGCTTTAACCGGTCTAGAAAACAAGTTTTTTGGAGGTCTACGAGTAATTTTTTCAAGTTTGGAAGCAAAGAGAAGTCTCACATGTCTAAATCTGTTTGGCCATTTCCAATAAGGAGGTATGTGGATTGTTACAATGGAAGAGCACTTTTTTCTTCCTTGTAAATGGGATCGTTTCTGCTGTACTTCGGTTGAGAAGCCCAATACTAGAACCTGTGTTCGCTTTGCCCATTTCCCGGGGTTCGATGTTGAATTCTTCGAATCGGGTTTGCTGGAGTCTACTGCTTCGGTTGGTCCTTGATCTCTGGTGTGTACTGTGAAGTAGTTTCACGGCTTCGCTTACTGCCCAGAGTGGTCTTAACTCATAAAAAACCGAGGTACGGCCACATTGAAACATGCTTGGTGCTATGAATAACATATTTAACACCCATATAAAATAAATCCCCATCTTCTTACTAGGTCTTTTTAATCACATTTATCAGTAAATATTTATGTGAAATCATTTGTACATATCCCTGAGAAAATTTTTACTTATAAACAGTTATTCCCTTTCATTTACACGTATATATGTAGAAGAAAAATTGCTTATAATCATTAATGCTGCTGATATTTATAGTAGTCTTAGCACGCTCAATTTAAAAGCAGCCGTTTATTCATAATTCTACAATGATTAATTATTATGTTCATACCCATGTATACTCACAACAAATGCATGATACAACCAGACATACGAGTATGTTAGTATGAACCTAAGAACTCGATGTGATTAGGTTTAATGTTGTTTTGACTGTCGCCAAGTTCGCATGCAAAATGATTTTTTGACATCATTCCAAATGCTGTGCTCTGCAAAGATTGAACTTGCTTGATGCTTGCGAAGAAATCTGCAAATCATCGTACACCATACGCTCATGCACACATATGGATCTAGGTATGCACGCACTAAGAAGAGTGCAATGAGGAACGACACCAATATGTACCGACTCTATACCTATGGAGAAATTTATCAACGCAAATTATAAGCATTTTTATGAATCGTCTTTCCTTTTTAAATCTTCCTTAGTTAGTTTTAAGAGAGGAAAGTTGAAAGAGACCTACGTCTATTCATTCCATATTTGTTATATGGTGGATAGAGGAAGTTACGAATTTACTTTGTCAATCTTTCTTGAATTATCATTTGCACAACCATGAGAGAGAAGATATTGTTGTGACTAGGAGTTAAAAAGTTTGATTGAAATCGATTAAGTGGCTTGTAGAAGGGAAATGACCGCTCGTGACTCGGTGAAAAAAGACACTGAAATGAGGAGGTCAAGATGATATTGCACTGTGAACTAGTCCCACCCACCATATTCGCCAGTTTGTCTATTTTCCCATTCACAGACTGAGAAAGTGGCTCGCTGAAAACGATCCTTGGAAAATGCCTATTTAGAGGACTTCAAAGCTTTAGTTTTTAGAACCAGTATAGAAAAGTTGGACGACTGTTTCAACAAATTTCAACAAACCCATTGCTCTAGTTGGCGATTATGCCGAAGACTATAGCTATATTTTCACTAAACGAAAACCGTTTTCAATATTATATATACCCTTTATGAGAGCAAAACTATTACACTATGTGCACAAAATCAGCAATTCTTTCAAGGTATCTTGAAAATTGACTGATCCTCAATTTTTCAATTAATCAAGAGTTTTAGCCAAAATCGACAATAAACAATTAGTATGTATCGTCGCAAGAGTTTCAAGGGCAATTCTAAATTCAATTTACTGTTGGGATTATGTATGTATAATATATGAATATGTGACTATATATATGTATATGGCTTGCATCACCACATTACACGGTATTGCTAATTAATCAATACAAATAAATTAATTTATTGGCAATTATCGGTTCTTTAAAAGTTTTTAAAGTTTCATATGCGCAATAATTCATTACAGGCGGAAACATAAAAATACAAAAAATATTTTGTGGGAAATTGCTATTATTTAATATCTTCCAATGCCTATTAAGAACTGTACTTATCGAAAGACTGAGCAAATGTGATTAGTTTTTTTAATTTAATTAACGAACATACATACATATCTCACAAATTCCCATAGCTAACCAAACTTGATGGAAGTAATACATTTTATCATTGAATGCAAGGTATTATCCACATAATGTTGAAATTTTTGTTTCTGTAGCTAAGCAGTTTTAGATCTCAACACTTAAAAAACTCTCTTGCCTTTTCTGACTCAGTAATCGTTGGGTTATTATTATTATTACTATGCCGCTCTTTTAAAGTGTTTATATCCGATAAGCTGTCTTACAAGCTAATTTTCAGATTTGAACCACATCTCGTTCAAACAAGGAAAAACGTTAATTTCGGTTGCATCGAAGCTAAAATATCCTTCACGAATAAAAAATCTTTCCCAGCAAGAACTTGGTTTTAATCGGTCTGTCCGATTTGAACAATATATTCGAAAATTGCTGCATTGCCTTTGACAATAAAGTTAAATAAAGTTTTTCATAAAGAAATTGAATTTGATAGGTCAGTTTGTATGGCAGCTATATGCTATAGTAGTTGGATCTGAACAATTTGTTAGTAGATTTTAGTGTTGCCTTGGGCAATAATCCATCCCAATTTTCGTGAAGATATGTTGTCAAATAAAAAAGCATTACATACAAAGACTTGGTCTTAATCCGGCGGCTCAGATACATGACCAGCTTCTTGAGAGAAGGGCGTGTGCGAAATTTCTGATCGATATCTCTAAAACTGAGGGACTAGTTCACATATATACAGACAGACGGACAAATCGACTCAACTTGTAATGCTGATCATTTATGTTCATATGTATTTTATAGCAGGGCTGCTCCCGCTCACTAGGCTCCCAACAACATCAATTGGCTCCGTTTGGCACACAGAACATAGAAAGTAAGTTAACAGACAGTTGGTTCCGCAACCTTCAATGGAACGCCAATTCGACTTCATCTATATTGTATTTCGAGAAGATCATAAGAATTACAATTATACAAAAAAAACATCATTGCACACAAATATTATGATTATGTCAAAAATAAAGAAAGATCTCCTAAAGTGAGATTACAGAACTTTCCACCAGAAATGGACATAAACATGAAACGCTAATTATCTAACTGAAACTTTTATGTAAACTCTATGTTGGTGTCTAATGAAGGAAAATATTATACTCTTAAACGGGCTATAGTTCCTATGATTAAAAATAAGGTCAATCAGATTGCTCTAAGTCGAAAGATCTCAGTATTTTTTGAGCAAATCAACCTGTGGGAGTTCTCTTGCATACGATCAAATCACAGGCAATGTACATCTCCACAGGCAATGTACATTGATAACTATCTGTCAAATACATTGCCATTGAGGTTGGCAATGTTCTTGTGTTGGCATTCGCTATTATGAAATATTCCTTCTCGAAATGGTGTCGGGTAGATATGTTCGAGCTGATATAGCGCATGTTTCTGCTCTTAACCGTTTAAAAATTTTATTAGGATGACAAAAATCGATATGGAGGATGAAAAAAGTAGCTAATAATTTTTCTACAAATATATGTTTTGGAAAAATAAGATTTTATGTGTTTTGACTGAAATAATTGTTGCATATTGTTTATTTGCCAATTCAATAATTAAATATGATGATTGATATTTACATATGCTAACAATTACTTTCCTCTAAAAACTATTTCAGCTTTTAAGTTGCAACCAAGAGTAACAATATATTAATCTTATGTATTTTTCGTATTTTTATAAAAATTTTAATAATATTTCAATTGTGATGTTTTTATAAAAAATTTAAAATATCTCATATTTGAACAGCCAAAACAAAACTTGTACACTTACGTTGGCAGCACTTTAAAGGCAGTTATCAAGTGGGTACCGTTATATTTGTTTGGTATTAATTGCGTATGGTCAAAATGTATTATTTGGTAAGCGAATTTATTTTTTGTGCGGTGGTAGTTTTTTAAAACAAATGATGAATAAATAAACATCTCAAGATTTACAAGTTCTGGTAGTCAAATATTGGCAAGAGAACAAAAGTACTAGCGAAATGAGCAATATTTTCAAAAAAACACTTACGATTGTTCAGCACATAATTACTAAATTCAAAAAGACTGATGGAGTTGGAAGATTTGTTGATAGTGGAATGCCCAAAAAAATTTGCACACCCCAGGCTGAAAGTTTAGTTGATCGGAGTATTAAGGAACACCTTAAAATATCCGATGTCGCTAACCTCAAGGAATTGGGGAAAGCTGACATTGCAAAACTTCAACTCTTGATTTCACTCGATTTTAGAGCGTATACACCACGAACAAGCCACAACTATCGGAGGGAAATGTTGCGAAACGTTTACTATATTTCAAAAAGAATATGCACCGTGAAAATGAATTTTGTGATTCGGTAATTTTTACCGATGAGTCCAAATTGAATTTATTTAGCTTTGATGGAAGTCTAAGCGCTAAAAGATAACAAATTAAATGAGACAGTCAGCATGGAGGAGGCTGCATTTTGTTGTGCATGGTGCAATGGAAGGAAAAGGGTAGCAGTGGGAGCAAATGGCGTCGGTAACATGTTTTCATCAACAAAATTATGTAAAGAATGGACTACTAGGCAATATTAAAAAATAATTTGGTTCCTTAAGCAGCTAAACTCATTTTAAATGGTGGCTACTGCTTTATTTAGACTAACGACCCGGTCTTTTTGGTCTTTGAAAATGGCGTTATTTTGGATTTTTTAATTTTTTGGGCTGAATTTTCAAAAATAAATTGCTATTACATTATGAAAATAATAAAATGGCCTTTTTTACACTTTTGAATGTAACTCAAAAGTTTTAATAGTTTAGGAGATAAGTCACTTTAAAGTCAAACCATATCCCTGTACAAGTTTTTTTGGTTCACTGTATGTATTTAATTACTATTTTCCATGTGTTGTTAATATTTATGTTTGGAATATTGGAAGCATAAAATATTGACATTTCATCTTTGCTGGCATCATGCCACCGAAGTTATGCATGTACATATTGCCTCTTCAAAATGTGTGTGCAAATGAAAACAGCTCTGTCAAACCACCAAAATGACAGTTCATTGCTAGCAATGACGGCTTTTACATTGGGACTCTTTTGACCCTCATATTTTTCAAATTCTCTTTTGGTGTCGCTCTGTACATTCACACGGTCAAAAAGAGTCCAGCAACTCGAGTCTAGTTTTTCTGCATTCCTTTTCACAAAACTTTCGTAAATATTTGTGCGGTTCGACGGCGCAACACTTAGAGCAGATAACTTAGAACAACGAGAAGGTGCAAATTGAATTTTGTATGATGCTCGATTGGTTGGCTGAAAATTCATTTAAGTTCTCTGGTAGAATAATATGCATAATACCTACCCGCTTAATAGGTTCAAAGAAATACTTAAGACGGGAATTCCCTATTCCACCAGAATGTATTAAATATCCGCTACTAATATTTTCAAGGCCAAATTTATAACAGGAATTTCCTAATCTTTAAGTATTAAAAAATCATAATTTTCTAACTCCATAATCTATATCTTAATTTTCTCCTTATCTACAATTTTTCAAAATATTTCTATTATTCTATGCATACATATTTGCATATTACATACAAAAAATAGATAACAGAATTCAAATTTGTGAGCGAATTCATTTGAAACCGAGCGCTCTTGCAACCATTCAAAGAATTTGAAAGTGAAAAGGAATGCTGAAAAGGGTAGCAGCAAGCTGTTTAAAACAAGAATACAACGCGAACACGAGTGGCCCGGTCCCTTCGTCTTTCCTCGTCGTCCCCTCGCCCGCAATAAACCGGTTTGGGTTACAAAAGAATCTGTGTGTAAAAGTAGAGAATGTATGGCAATGTTGCTAGCAATTCAGATTTTTAACAGCAATCTTTAATTGCCTGTAACAATCAGATTTGTGCACTTTTTTATTTGACGAAATACCTTCACGAAATTTGGCATGAGTTATTTTCTAAGGCAACAATGTAATCTCCGAAGAAATTGTTGATCGGATCACTATAGCATATAGATGCCATACAAACTGAACGATCGAAATCAAGAGCTTATATGAAAAACTCTTTCATTTGACGATATATCTTCACGGAATCGGGCATGAGTTATTCTCTAAGGCAACAATGTAATCTCCAAAAAAATATCTCAGATCAGATCACTATATCATATAGCGGCCATACAAATTGAAAGATCGGAATCAAGTTCTGGCAAGGAGCCTTTGTAATTGTGAAGGGTATTATAGCTTATAGGGGTAACCGAAGTTAACGTTTTTTCTTGTTTTTTAGTTAACATTAAAACTGAATGGAAGGACACAGATTTTAATTTCGGTAAAAGTTCAATTGGACAAGGTTGAGATTTTAGCAAAAGACGGAAACGTAGAAATAAAATTACTAAAACATTGACTGAATATAATACATAAAGTGTCCAATAACTGCTGATGTATAAGAATTTACTTTTGTCTTTAACATAACGTAATAAAATTATAGTATACCGCAACTTTTCACAAAATCATTCGCATTTTTTTGTTATATCAAAAGATATCACATATACAAAGAATACTGGATATTAGCGATTTAAATTGCATTAAAATATTTGTTTTAACAAAATAGAATATAACTTCGAGCTAATTAAAAATAAAATTCATAAGTGTTTTAAGATTACCTTATTCCTTCCTCTTTCCCATTCAAGGTGATCACATTTTTCGTAAATGCGGTGAATTCACCGCTGAACAATTTCGGTCCTATCGCATTGTTATAATAAGACAAATAGAATCAATAGTAAATCGACCTTTGACAGCCACCGAACAGGAGGTAGTACTGTTCCCGCGGATTTGCTGCAATATAAGCTGCCGAGAGTACGATTTCAAAAAACTTGTGGACTGTGAAAATTGTGGACAGGTATTTAAAGGCTATTATTACCTTTTAAGACTGTTATTACTGTTCATATTTTTCAAGGTCGCGTACTGCCGCGATAATCCAGAACATTTTAACCAATCTCATCAGGATTGGTGCAAGTCATATCAACTGTTCAAGAAGCTGGAGTTAATACAGGCCAAAGTTGGCAAAGTCGACCCGGCAATGCCTATGAAAATACTCCGTGACATACCAGGAGCTTGTTGTAATACTAAGCAGATTCTGAGCAAATTAGACTGCGGTAACTGTACTAAAATTATACAATTGATATTTAGTTGAGTAATAACCTTCTATTACCGTTAATAGTCGTTCAGGATGATTGTGAATTCTCTGCGCTTAGTCAAATTTCTACGTGTCCCTTGACAGCTTGGTATGCTTTGAAGTTGTGTGGGCATTTGAAGAAGTCGGAAGAAATTACTGTACATCTCATCGGTGAGTATGAATATTTTGTATTATTATTTTATTTTCTATCTTTATTTTTAAAGTAAAATAGAATATACACTGCGCGTCACCAAGTTAGCACATCTTCATCAGCCTATGTTAATACAATTGCTTCTGTTTTTTTGTTATTAACTTGAAGCTACTTTATTGTTTTCTAATTTTTGCTATTTCCTGTTCTTATGAGCTGAAAAGTGTGCTTTATTTTTCGTTATCAGGCAATCACATGCAATATGATTTGATTTTAACTTCAGAGTTTAAATACGTATTGAAACCAAATTTTTGGTATTGCTTAAGTGCTCTATTTTCTTTAATATGGCCAAAGGAGAATCGCTTGAAGAGAAAGCAATAATCGGAGCTTATGAAAAGTTACAGCCTTCAGTAATTGAAATATCGAAAAACCTTGGCAGAAGTGATTTCCGAGTTTAACAAGAGACCAATTTTGAAAAAAGCATCCAACTTATGATCGTAAATGTGAGCTAATCTACTGTTTAAAAGGTGTTAAGGAATTCTCCATATTTGAAAATATTAAAACTAAAGGAAATTCTACCACTTAAGGTTCCCCGAAAAGAAACACGATTGCATTTGCGCCGGGACAGATGACCTTAAGTTAATTTAGAAGGACCCATGAATACAATTATTATTTCCATGATCTTCTGAAGCAGAAACATCGAGCGGTGTGACGGTGTGGGGAGCCATCTTCTGTTATCGTACAGGCGAACTGCAATTTTTGAATACTGGACTGGTACTGGAAACTGCTTTTCTCTATTTGAAAAATTTGTTTGGAACTTTGCACGATATGATAAAGTACCGATTCACACTGCCCGGTTGTTTAAGTCTGGGATTGAAGAACAAAACGTCACTTTATGCAGTGACATGTCATCAATGTAAAGAAAAGATGTGGGGATGGTTGACTCGCAAATTTTTCGAGTCTGGCCGGCAGTATTCCTCTAAAGAGGAATTAGTTAAACGTATTAAAAATGGTTGGTCATTAAATTATTAAATTATATTGGAAAATTGTACGAATCGCTACCCAATCGGATCTTAGAGATCATTTTCAACAAGGCGGGATCGACTCATTATTAAAATAATATACAGATGTGTAAATTAGTCAATACATAAGTTTGAAAATATATTCTTGGCCAAAAATTTTTAAGAATATTAAAAAAAAAGTGATATGTGCTAACCTGATACCCTAATTTTAATTGTTAATTTTTATATTGATTTCGATTGTGAAACACTAACTGTTGTTTCATTTAGTAGAAAAATGGTTCGTTAATAATTGTTTTAGAATTACAGCTGCTTTAGTTTTGATAGAAATTAATCTAAATTTTTAGACCTGAAGTGTGCTAATCTGTTGACTCGAAATGTATGTAAGATATTCTACTTGGACTACACATGTCTTCACATTTAATGTCGAAGCAATAACTTATAACAACAATAGCCGGGCGAAACATTCACTTAAAGTTAAATATCACAACTAAATTTACCCAGGAAGTCCGGACTACCCGAAGCCCCAATACATTGAATGAGTGAGCATAGAAACTAACCCATACACACCTTGCTTCTTATGGGACTCTCATGAGTGAGTGAGGAGATCAATTTGGCCTTTACTCATAGACACTTTGATAGAAATCTAGGGTGGCGCAGCGCCACTGGCGCTCTCCAGTAATGAATGTATGATTTAACAGTTAGTTGACTTGCAGAGCTAGTAAAAATATTAGTGAATAGGCATTAGAAAGGCCGAACTGTCCAATTACCACTACTTCTTCTATGAATTTATCTACCGACTTCTATAATATCTCATAAGCTTTTATCAGCTATTGAAATTTTAATTAATTTTTTTATATTTTTTACTAACTCTAATTCTTTCAACAGGTGCTGAAATTGAATTCGAGGTTGATGCTTTACACAAATGGGAACTATTCTTCTTACATATTAATCCGAATACCAAAAAACTAAATGTGGTTTTCGTCGGGCCGGAGCTAAATCAGGGTAATGTGCCCTTTGAACAGTTAACGAAAACAAAGTAAGTACAGAAATAATTTTTTCCGCAATTTTAAAAGCAAATACTTAAAAATGTTCGTAAATATTTAGATGTTGCAGATCTTGTCGTAAAATACAACGCACGGTAAGTTACCGTTTTCAAAATCAACTGTACCATGACTACTTCAATTTGCCAACATTCATGACACCCGATTTAAGTAAGACGACTAAAGTATTATCTTACACGAATATTTCTATACTGATTTAAAACTTGTCTTTGAAGTTTGCTTCTTCAACGCGGGCTTATATCGTTACAATGGTTTTCAAATGGAAGATACTTGGCCTGAAACTATACGTATTGCCACGAATATAAAATGCCCCATTGTGGTTACATCATATACGGCGTATGAAGCGCCACTCGACATTTCACGGTTGATTCAAGAATCCAGTCGAAGAATTAATGTGATTTTACCGCCAACTCTGAATCCATTTGCTTCTAACAAGCCAGAGCGCAACTTTATATCGGATGAGGAAGCACCATTGATGTTTAAGAACTATTATTGCTTTCTAGTCGAATAAATAAATAATTTCCTTGTTAATTTAATTCTTACGAATTCCGTTATTTTCTATAGAGGTTACTCCGCTGTCAGTAATATTTTGCCGGCGAAGTGCGTATATTTAGACAAGTTGGTTACTATTGGACTAGTTGCTCTCATTTTATTGGCAACACGTCTAACCATAGTTCGCAGGTCGTTACCAGAAGAATCAGGTCTACGTAACCGGGTGGGCCCAGATTTTTCGATTTGCCAGCATTCTTCAAAAATTTTATGTCACTACAAGAATCACCACAACTTGCCTCAGAGGTTTATTTCCGTAACGTGAGCAATAAAATCCTCCATTAAAATTTTATCTTGGTTGAGAAGTCATCTTATGATTAGTTTAATAACAGGAAATCCAATATAATGCACATGCTCTGTTAGAACTATGGGAATGTTCGGCCTGCAATCTCAGCCACAATTCGTACTTCAGGCTACGGTAAAAAAGACGCTACACTTACTTTAATCGGACAAGCTTTAAAATGTTACCTTGAAATGCAAAATTCTTCAAATCTATCAGGTATCTAGAAATACTACCAGAAAAGTGGTCATGTTACGAAATGGGATACACGCCAACCAACATTGGGTCAAATCGGGTAATGTCTTTCATTCCCCGGTATGAAGATAATCCATAATTTTTAACTTAACTTTCATTATTTTCAAAATTTCACTAGATATATTTCTGTACTACTACTATATTTACTGTACTACTACTAATTTTTTAGAACAATCCAACCAATTAAAGATTTTTGTTACCATCGAATGCAACAGTGTAACATGATAAACTTTTTATAAAGAGTCTGTCTAATAAATGAAAACAAACAACTGTCAAAAGTTGAGAGACATGTGTTTCTATTTTATAATTTACTTGTACAAGGATTTTAAAATAACGCAATGAGTGACGACGAAGAGCTATTTAATCCCAAAGCACACAAGAAACTATTGCAAGGCATCAGCAGCCTAGGCAAAGCTCAACATATTAGGAAAACAACACGTAATGAACCTATACGACAGCAGGATGAGTTTCAGTTGGTTAAGCCAGGAGACGAATCAGCTGCACGTTATCCCGTTGGCTTGCATGATATTGTAAAAGTATTGCAAACAACTAAGAAACATATAGAAGCGGGAAAACAACTAAAAGTTGTACAGTCTTCGAAAAGAGTTCTGGATAAGCCACTAGAAAAGCCACAAGCAGATCGTCTTAAGCGTGGACTAGGCTATGATACAACTAAGAAAAATTTGGGACGATGGGATGCCGTTGTGTCTCAAAATCGTAATGCAGAAACTCAAGTTTGTACAAAATTATATATATCTGGACGTCGTGCTGTTAACATTTTTTTGTTTTTTTTTTATAAAATAATTAGGTTTTTCCTCTACGATCCGAAACTATTTATGTCGACACGTCTTTATACCGTAAACCCTTGGAACGATCGCTTAAATCTGAGTTAGCTCTCGAGTTGGAAGCAGAAAAAGCGCGTTTAAAAGCCGCTAAGCGAGAATTAGCAGGTGAAACAGAGAATGTGGAGGAATTAGCCAAAAAGGAAGAAGAGTTATTGAAGAAAAAGTTTACCCGAGACGAGCTTATTGCTCGACGTAAAGAGTTAGCATACTTAAAAATCAGACAGTCCCAAAAGTCAGTAAAAGCACGCAAGCAAAACAAAATCAAATCGAAAAAGTATCACAAATTGCTTAAAAAACAAAAAATGCAAGAGCAAATCAAACAATTTGAGATTCTCCAAAAAACCAACCCTGAGGCAGCTTTGGAAAAATTGAATGAGTTAGAAAAGAACAGAGTTCTGGAAAGAGCTAGTTTGCGTCATAAGAACACTGGTACATGGGCTAAGAATTTGCAAATACGTGCAAAATATGATAAGGATGTAAGGAAGGATCTGTCTGAACAATTGCAAATTAGTCGTCAATTAACACAAAAAACAATCGATAGCGATGATGAGAATGATGATTACAATGCTACAAAGGCTTCGCGAATCGGTATGGAAAAAGAGTTGAATGAATCTGATCCATTCAATCCATGGACGCGTATAGCAAGCATTCAAACAGACTGCTTAACTAATGAAGGTAAAGGTGAAGGTGGAAATTGGAGAAAATATTGGCTGGACCGAAACGAAAATGAAAAAATGCTGGATGAATACAAAAAGCTTTTAGTTGAAAAAGATATGTCTGATGATGAACAACAAGGAAATAAAGAAAAAATAGGAACTAAACAGAAACCGAAAAAAGGTGACCAAATGAGTAAACATGTTAAAAAAACTAAGAAAAGAACTACAGTTGTCGAAAAAGAAATTAAAAGTAGTGGGGCTGGTCAATGGTTAGTTAAAGAGACGAAAAGCGAAGGTGGTAACAATATTGACGATATTTTTAATAAGCAAGAGGACAAAATTAAACAAAGAATAACTAAAAAAATTAAAGAACTATCGAAAAAGGCTAAGCTTTTAAAAAAGAATCAGTTGAAAAATACAAAACAGAAAAAACGTACGCAAAAGAATGATCTGAAGAATTTAAAAGATTTATCCTTTAAAAAAGTTGTGAAACGACCAATAATAGACGAAGAACTTGGTATTGAAGAAGTCAGTAAAAGCAACGTTGAAATTAATTTGGAAAAAGTGAAAAAGGATGAAGACAATGGTAAAAAATCCAATTCTGTAGCGATTAAACCATCAACAACTGAAGTAAAACCTTCTACAATCATTGATCCAAACAAATTGGCTGATGTGAAACTTAAACAACATGTAAATAATTTCATTGGTTTAAATGAATCTCTTAGTGCTGCAGACGATGACGTTGACATGAGTGGCGATGAAGACAATGATAAGGTTTACTTAGATCAACAAATGACAATCAGTCAAGCATTTGAAGACGATGATATTATTGCCGACTTTATGCGCGACAAAGCTAAAGACTCGGAAGTAAAAGACGCCGAGATCGATTTATTTATGCCTGGTTGGGGTTCATGGGCTGGCTTTGGTATTTCTGCTGAGCGCCAGGCTGCTATTAAAAACAAACGTCTAGTTCTAAAGTTAGCTGAACAGGAAAAGCGTCGTGATGATAATAAAGGTGGCCTATATATCAACGAAACAGCGAGTAAACAATTACGATCTCATCTTGTTTCTGAGGTACCATTTCCATTTACCTCTGTAGCTGATTATGAGGGCAGTATTCGCGCAACTATTGGGCGAAATTGTGTTCCGGAAACTGCCTTTCGTATGCTAACTCGACCAGCAGTCATAACACATAAAGGTCAAGTAATTGCACCCATGGATCAAAGCGAAATAACAAAACCGCAGCGCAGGTTAAGACATGTAGTTGATAGAAGGATAGCGAGAATGAATGAGAATGCTCCATCGAAATAGGTTAAAACTAAATAAAATTTGAAATATTAGAATTAATTTTTTTTTGAGAAATTCATATGTATCTACAAGTTTACATGATTTTACAGTTTTTAAGTGCTGTTTCGTTATTTTGGCTATACAGATTAACTGATGGTAAGTGAAAAATATTCGTTTGTTAAAATAATTGGCATACAAATAAAATATAATATGGGAAAGAAGCTGAATGGGTTTAATGGCAATCAATTTATTGGTGCAGGGAGTGCATTCATCTCAATCGTAAACATGTGTAAAGAAATTTTTTTTTATATATTTTATAATATTTCTTATTTTTGCAATAACTATCTGCCACCTCAACAAAGTTCCATAAATTTATTTGCGACATTCTTTTACAACTACTGTAAATAGTAAAAATTCTACAAAATATCACTTACACACAGGTAGTCAGGACATTTAATTAGTCATTTAATGTATATATCTTATACCTAATAAAAACGTATTTATCTATTTGAACTACTTTACAGTTTTATTAGAGGTTATTAGAGAACTAAACCTCTTTAAAGATATGTCACTATGAATAGGTAGATATTTGGGATAACCAAATATTTAATTAAATGTGAAATATCATTGAAAATATATATGTGCATTTTATAATTTTTATACTCTTGCAACACGTTGCTCCAGATTATAATAGTAGGTTTAGTGTAACCACTCCCACTCCTCATATAACGGTTTTGTTAAAAACTGCTAGAAAACAATAACGAGAAGTGGCAGAGACATTAAATTTTACATCCGAGATGACACAAAAATCCTTTATAGGAGCCGGGGTCAATATTGGACAATGGGTGTATCACCGCCCACATTTAGGTGAAATCACTTATCTCAGAACCTACTACATCAGATTATTTTAACATTCCTATTTATCAGGGCGATGAAAATGAAATATTTCCTTTAAGGTATACCATCTCAGGTATAAAAATTGGCAAAATTGGACCACAACTATTCAAGCCCCAGATAACGGAAATGTGGACCACAGAGCTTGTGGCTGACTTTTTGTTGTTGTTGTTGTAGCGGCAGAATTCTACCGAGTTGACAGTCCTTGGCCGGAATAAACCCGGGTCCGTTCCGTTTACGTAGACCCGACTGTCGTGGGAACGGACTGACATTTTGTTGTTGTTGTTGTAACGGTTACCTAGTCCCCGTTTGGGTGATAAGTTCCAGATTCGTTGTCGTCGAGGTCATCTAACGGGAGGCCCAGGAAACGAGCTGTTTCGACGGGGTCGGACCATAGGGAGAAGGGTGTTAGATGGGTGGCGTTTGTTGGGCATGCAAAGAGGTGGTTAGTGTCATGCGGAGACTCATTGCGTGCAGGACATGTGTTTAGTATGTCGGGGTCAATTCTGGATAAGTAGGAGTTTAACCTGCTACAGTATCCGGAACGAAGTTGCGCGAGGCAACTCGAGCTTTATGTCTGCTATGGGTGGTGGTTTGACTCCTATTACGCCATTCACTGAGAGGGAGTCTGTGAAGGTGTTGATGGCTCCACTGTGAATGGCGGTCAGTGCCTGTCTGAAGTTCGTTGCGTCCGAAGTCCGGTCGGCGTACTGTCTAATGTCGTCGACGTAGTCAAGGAAAGACCTCTTGATGTTCCTAGGAGGCGGCTCCGCTACAGTCAGGCGACTACAGGGGTGGTTTCTACGAAGACTGACTTTTTGTCAAACATATCGGACGATCTGTGCGATATATAATTGAAATTGAAAGGAAAATGTTCTTTTGATAATAATATACCCTTGTGTCAAAAATGGTATGAATCGGATCAATCAGGGCTGTTGTAGAGTCTGACAGTTGTCGAAATCAGAATTGAAACCGATAAAAAAATTTAGTAGGTGTCATGAATCCAGATATTATTGGTTTGACGTTCAAAACAGAAATTTAATCGGTTTTAGGTGTCACGGAAACCAATTTGATCGGTTTTGTTATCAGAAACAAAGTAACAGGGTATTCGTTGACAGATTTGAAATGTAAGTTAAGAAAATAGTTTATATTATGGTTACGTTTTAATTTATCTTTATTGTAGAGGAAAAGAATAAAACACAAAATGACATATTTATTGCTGCGGAGTTGACAAATGAGCAAAATTCGGTGTCAATATGTATGCTAGCTCGTATGTACATATGTAAGTTTGTCGGCAAAGTTCAGTTTTTGCTCCGTACCGTCAGAGAATGTTGAAGAGTAGAGAAGGAGCAAATGTTAGCAGTACTAAAATGTTAATTGCTAAGAAGGAACATCGAAAACGCGCAAGTTCGAAAATAAAATGTCACCACTGCTGTCAATTTACGCAACGAACTACACCACTCTATAAGCAAAATGTATATACATACATATGCGCAGATGTTCTTTGATATGCGCATAAACAAAAATTGAAATAATAAAAACGAAAGAAATTGACTTCTGACAGGAAAATTTAATAATCAGGGAAATAATATTAAAATAGAATTCAAATATCAATTCATAAAAAAGGGTTATAAAAATAAAAAAGGAATATATAATATATGATTGGATTTGAACTTAGGCAAAATATTTCACGTTGCAATAAAGAAGTCTGCTATACAAGCAGTACCACAGACAATATTCAAGCTCTTGAGTCTAATCTGTGGATTCAAACAGCTATTATTGTTTACTTGCTTCAAATGTTCATATGTCCATATGTGAATATTCTTGAAATTGCCTTCTTTCATTCGCATGTCCAAATATATTTGCATATATGTACACATATGTACATATGTATGTCCCTCAATATGTCTTTCGCAAAAAATCAAACACTCGCGCAAGTGACAAAAAAACGTAGACGCACCACATCGGCCAATAATATTCAAGCGAACTCGCGGCTTTTTTTCTAAGTATTTCATATTACAACGACAACAAATTCATTCGTAAGGAACGTGCGTCTGCTTCAAAGCAAAGTTCGCTCGTTCATAACTCTGCGCCGCGCTATTTTTTCTGTGCGCCTGGTAAACCACATTTGGTTTTCATATAGAATTCCTACCGCAAATGCGTGAGAATAAAAATGAAGGAAATTGAATTTTAATTGTCTTCAGTAAAATTGAAGAAGTTTCAATTTTACAACTGATCCTACCATTCCCCTCGCATTTGTATTTTGCCCACAAGCTGCCTACTCACAACGATGCTAAAAATCAGAAATTGAAGAATTTGTCTGGTGCTCCCTTCCGAAAGGAGAATTGGCAACATGACCTCTTAGCGATTTGAAATTAATTTTTTTCATATTATGCACCATTTATGGCATTAAATTATAACATTTATATAAAATTGCCATTCATATGAAATCATTAACTACTTCTATATATGCTAAGCACACTGCATATAGTACTCTTATATGTTTACTTATTATCATTGTTTCATAGTTTTTCGATTTAGCCCATTTTATCTAAATACGACGCTATGAAAATGCAGCCCAATTGGTAATCGCAATATTTCAAAAGAGCATAAGTCAAATTTCAATAGCAAACCACTGCAAGAAGGACAAACGAGACAACATAGCCGATCGATATTGTCGCAAAATTGTCGATTGAAACAAATTTTGTCAACTCCGCGACGATGCGCAAAATTTGGCGTCAATATGTATGCGAGCTCGTTTGTATGTATGTATGTAAATATGTATGTTTGTCGGCAAAGTCGTCATTTGGTTTTTTACAACAACACAATGTCCGCGCGAACTCGCCGTTATTTCGTTGGCTTGCCACCATGCACATAGGCGTGTCAAGTGAGGGCCATAATATATGCTCTATTCCCTAGAATAAAAATATCAATTAATAAAAAAGGGTTATAAAAATAAAAAAAAGAGTATATAAAAATATCTGATAGGATTTGAACTTAGGCAAAATATTTCACGTTGCAATAAACAAGTGTGCTATACAAGCGAACTCGCGGCATATTTTCTAAGTATTTCATATTACAACGACAACAAATTCATTCATAGGGAACGTGCGTCTGCTTCAAAGCAAACTGCGTTCGTTCATAATTCTGCGCCGCGCTATTTTTTCTGTGCGCCTGGTAAACCACACTTGGTTTTCATTTAGAATTCCTACCGCAAATGCGCGAAAATAAAAATGAATGAAATTGAATTTGAATGTCTTCAGTAAAATTGAAGAAGTTTCAATTTTACAACTGATCCTACCATTCAACTCGCATTTGTATTTTGTCAACAAGCTGCCTCCTCACAACGATGCTAAAAACCAGAAATTGAAGAATTTGTCTGGTGTTCCCTTCAGAAAGGAGAATTGGCAACATGACCTCTTAGCGATTTGAAATATTATTTTAATTTTTTTCATATGCACTATTTATGGCATTAAATTATAAAATTTATATAAAATGGACATGTATATGAAATCATTAACTACTTCTATATACTCTAAGTACACTCCATATAGTACTTTTATATGTTTACTTATTATCATTGTTACATAGTTTCTCAATTTAGCCCATTTTATCTAAATACGACGCTATGAAAATGCAGCCCAATCGGTAATCGTAATATTTAAAAGAGCATAAGTCAACTTTCAATAGCAAACCACTGCAAAAGGGACAAACGAGACAACATAGCTGACCCAGAGAACTTAAAACAATGAGAAGGTGCAGGTTCGACAGCGAACAATTTATCAAGGAGTTCACCACAGATGCACGAGAAACAAATAACATTTTTCGCTTTTAATCTTGTCAACTCCGCCAGATGCGCAAAATTCGGCGTCAATATGAATGCGAGCTCATATGAATATATGTATGTTTGTCGACAAAGTCGTCATTTGGTTTTTTTCAATAACACAATGTCCGTGCGAACTCGCCGTTATTTCGTTGGCTTGCCATCATGACAGAGGCGTGTCAAGTGAGGGCTCATAATATTAATATGTTTGCTTAATTTGTATTGAAAAATACTAATGCATTAATTACTTATTGACGTAATATAATTAATAGATACGTAAAAATATAAATACAAAGAAATTCATACCTATAATCGTTTTTAAAATAAATCCGATTAATAAAAATATATCTGAAATAATTATGTGGCAGTGCGCCCCTGACCCCTTCTTGCTTGCGATCGTTCAACTTGCTTCTCGCAAAAAGCAAAAAGTGTGGACAAAAGTCATTGCTTGTGCGGTTTCAACAGAGAACGTAAATGAATAGAGAAGGAGCAAATGTTAAATGAAATCTTTTTGAGTACTAATTTGTAATTCCAGATGAGGGAACATCGAAAATATAACTTCGAAAAATAAAAATACACCACACAATATGCGAAATGCTATAAATGACACAACGAATATTCCTAAATGAAAAATCGTTGCGCATACCTATTTAGATTTATGTTTTCAATTTTTATGATATGACAAATTTATAATTATGAAAAACCTTCTGAATTAAAAATCTGTATTATCGGTAAAAACCCCAGAATTCATAATAAAATAAACATTTAATAGGCAATTTTTCCAACTTATGTATGTGCGTTGCGTAAGTAATTACTTATTGAACAAAGGATAACAATAAAGCGGTGCCTAAGCGGCCGCGTTTCCACTTTTGTGGTGGCTTAGGTCGTAAGCGTGAAGGAGTTAAGCTCATTCTGAATACGAGCATATAAGTTCGAATCCTAAAACTCATGTAAATTAAATTTTATTAAATTTTTTGTTTTTTTTTTTAATTGGAGTCTAAGCATATCATAATTCAATTTCTTTAATAGCATATTTTACATCCTGATATAATTAAAATATATCAGGAAAATATGTTCATATGTTTAGGTTTATTGAATATTTCCTTATTATGCGTATTTACACAAATGTAATAATCACACATACATTGACGCCGAATTTTGCGCATCTGGCGGAGTTGACAAAATTTGTTTGAATCGACAATGTCGGTCGGCTATGTTGTCTCGTTTATCCTTTTTGCAGTGGTTTGCTATTGAAAATTGACTTATGCTCTTTTGAAATATTACGATTATCGATTGGGCTGCATTTTGATAGGGTCGTATTTAGATAAAATGGGCTGAATTGAGAAACTATGAAACAATGATAATAAGTAAACATATAAAAGTACTATAAGGAGTGTACTTAGAGTTTATAAAAGTAGTTAATGATTTCATATACATGTCAATTTTATATAAATTTTATAATTTAATGCCATAAATAGTGCATATGAAAAAAACTAAAATAATATTTCAAATCGCAAGGAGGTCATGTTGCCAATTCTCCTTTCTGAAGGGAACACCAGAAAAATTCTTCAATTTCTGGTTTTTAGCATCGTTGTGAGGAGGCAGCTTGTTGACAAAATACAAATGCGAGTTGAATGGTAGGATCAGTTGTAAAATTGAAACTTCTTCAATTTTACTGAAGACATTCAAATTCAATTTCATTCATTTTTATTTTCGCGCATTTGCGGTAGGAATTCTAAATGAAAACCAAGTGTGGTTTACCAGGCGCACAGAAAAAATAGCGCGGCGCAGAATTATGAACGAACGCAGTTTGCTTTGAAGCAGACGCACGTTCCCTATGAATGAATTTGTTGTCGTTGTAATATGAAATACTTAGAAAATATCTCGCGAGTTCACTAGAATATTATTGGCCGATGATGGTGCGTCTACGTTTTTTTTGTCACTTGCGCGAATGTTTGATTTTTTGCGAAAGACATAATGAGGGACATACATACGATTGAAGTAAGGTAATTTCAAGAATATTCACATATAGACATATGAATATTTAAAGCAAGTAAACAACAATAGCTGTTTGAGTTCACAAATTAGACAAAATCGTTTAAATATCGCCTGTGGTGCCGCTTGTATAGCATATTTAATTATTGCAACGTGAAATATTTTGCCTAAGTTCAAATCCTATCAGATATTTTTTTACACTCTTTTATTTATTTTTATAACCCTTTTTTATTAAATGATATTTGAATTTTATTTTCATATTATTTCCCTCATTATTTATATTTTCAGAAGTCAATTTCTTTCGTTTTTATTATTTAAATTTTTGTTTATGCACATAGCAAAGAACATCTGTGCATATGTATGTATATACATTTTACTTATAGAGTGGTGTAGATCGTTGCGTACCCTGATAGGTGTAGTGACATTTTATTTTCGAACTTGCGTTTTCGATGTTCCCTCATCGTAATTAACATTTTAGTCAGGGATATCTCTCTGGATTATCTCTATTCATTAACATTCTCTGTTTGCGCCTTCTCTATTCATTTAAATCCTCTTCCTGAGGCATAATTTAATAAATATTTTATACGAGTTGAGTTTCGGCAACTCTGCCAAAAGTGACTTTGTATCATGGTATCCGCTACACCCCTTTGCGATGCTTTGTAGTGCTCACCAAAGAACGTATATCATAATATACGTTCTCTGTGCACACCTCTATATACCACCTATGCTGTCAAATTGTGATTGGGCATTGTGTAAATTTAATTCGAAAATCGTCGGCGTAAAATATAATACTTTGAAGCAATAGAAATTATTTTAAGATTATATTCCTTTACAGAAAATAAATAGTGCTTTGAAAAATTAAATTAAAGCAATTATATTAAGGTATACACATTGACAAAATGTATGAGCTTAAAACAATTTTACCGGAATATGCTTTACAATTGCCAACTTGCATGTATCCAATGAAAGTACACAATAATTCGGTAGCTTCAGAAATTATAAAAGCTGACGCAAGTAGCGTAAGTGTGATTTTTCATAATGAACAAAATAAAAGTGGTTTTTAGAAGAAATAAAATGTAATAATCATATTAAAGGGTTTGTGTAATGGCAATGCTAATCCTCTTGCCACGTCCGCTGTCAACTCCCTTGGGCCGAAGAAAAATGTGTGCGCGCTTGATTTGGACAATTTAAGTGCACAAATCCAGAACTTACTCAAGGTTAATTTTCAAAATTGATTAATTAATTTATTTTCCATTTGTGTTTGTCATAGGTTTTTTTTTTATATGTATTTATGTTTTATAGATTTTTTCGTTAAACGCAGTGAACTTACATCATTATAAAAAATAGTCATAATTTTCTAAATATGATTGTTTTTGAGACTGCTTAACTATTAACACACTTCATATGCGAACTTTTTTTAAATCTTATGTTTTGTTTAGGTTTATTAAATATTTTAATTTCTATCAAAAACATTTTTGAGGGGGACGTGGCAGTATAGATTACAGGATTAAAGTGTATTTTGGCATTTATTAAATTTTTATTATGGTATAATTTTCGTTTACTAATTAACTAACCTATAAAGATTAAAGCTAAACAGCTGCTAAGTGTTTCTATTCACACGTTTCGAAAATAAACAAATAAGTATGTACGAATATGCGCATAAATCTAATTTAATCTCACATTTGCTTGAGTGTTTTTCAACAATGCAAGAATATCAAGAGGTTAGGTCGATTTTTATATATAACAAATAAAAATAAGTATTTTTTTCAATCACACTAACACAAATGTGGTCATTTAGATTAATTTGACCATATTTTTCAAATTCACAGTCATCTAATGATGTCGGTTCGGTATGCTTTCGACAGGAAAAAGTCTTAAAACAACTACAAGAACTTAAACAACAGATGGCCAATATTCGCGCATCTCTCGGTTTCTGTCAAAAAAGTCCCCAACACACTGGTAAACCAAGTGTGCGGAATGGAGGTTTACGTGAGGTTAGTACAATTCTAAAACGTTTCAAAACACGTTAGACTTTATAAAAAACATGAGAATTTTGCATGTTAGGAATCTCTGCATGATATTGTTATCAACGGACACCCTAATTTCATACCATATGCCCTATTAGCATTGAAGAATGCATGGAAGAATCTTTTCACCATTGATGTGAGAACATTTAAACATTCAACAATGCCTGATATTGGAAAAGAAGCAAGCGAATTCGAAAATAAATTGGCACAAGTAAAGGTAGACCCATCAAAACTGAAAGTGAATGTGTCACTTATTTGGAAAAACTGTAATAAGGAATTAGTCTGTTAATATGAATATACTTTAAAACAAATTATTTTTTTATATTTTAAGGTGAACATACTGAAATGATCAGTTCACCCACTATGTACGTCCCTATTTATGGAGAAGTTAATATTATTCGATATTTTGGTCGAGTTGGACCAGAGGAATACCGTTACGAAGATTCGCCAAACTGCAATGAAATCGATGCTGTGCTGGACATATGTTATCAATTGTTGCGGTGTATTACCAGCAAAAGCCGCGCCTCAATGCTACGTGCACTCAATCTTCGGCTGGGCAAACAAAAATATTTTGGTGGTGACAAAATATCGATTGCCGATATTGGTGTGTACAGCTCGTTGAAGCGTTTGCCGATAATAACTCCTAAGGACTTTACGCCAACATTGACTGAATGGAAAAAACGCGTACAACTTGTTACACAGCTGTAAAATAAGTTTGTAATAATTGAATATCTTGTACTTGGTACATGCTTAATTACATACATATGTAAAGTAAATGAATGCAATTATTTTTTTCTTTTGTAAAAAAGTTAACTTTTATTGCAAACTAAAAATGCGCATTATTTGTATGTTCCACTTAATTCTATGACATAGCTTTACCCTAACTGGGCGTTGCCTAATAATGTAAAAAGTCATATTTAATTGTAATTGCAAAGATCTGATCTTTGATATTTGCACTAAAATTTTTTTATTAACAAAGTGAAATTTTAAATTTCACTCTCATGGGCTTTTCTTCTGGTTGGAAGAAACTTCCCACAAATATAAAAGCCAAAAGCGTTATATTCATCTCTCATATTTCTTACTTTCAGTCTATTATTATTGTCACTTATATATATATTTCATTTTCTTTAAAGTAAGCATCAGCAGATGTTAAGATTTCTGCTTGCACTTAGGTGAAGACTTGACTCTTTTATAGTTCGTTGTTAGGGTTGCAGCCTTTTAAACTGTACGTATTTTCCAACATTGCAATTATTCAACGGCGAATATAAGCAGCGTGCTTTCTCAAAAAAGAAGACTTGTGTATTTGAGGACTTCACAGGATTGCCTGACATCAGTTAAGTACTACGCCATTCGCCTCCAAACACATACAAGCTAAACGAAGGTGCTGTCCATCTTGTTAAATTGATAAATGTGATGGCATTCTCCGAAACAAACTAGTTAAATTTGCTACTCTTTTAACAGTTGACGAAACCACGACGATATTTTATGGTTTAAAAGAAGTATAGAAGTTAAAGGCTAGTATTAGCGCTCAGTGTTAAAATATAGGGAATCATGTTGTCGATTTGCACTTGCCCTATTAAATTGGAAAAAAATAATTCTTCGATAACGTCTGATTCTAAGGCAGCTAGTGGTAAAAGTGTGATTATTAGTGTACTAAAACGTTCCTCTGCTTGTTGCTCGTCATCCAATTGGCTAGCGATATGTTTCCGAAGACTGGATAATACATATAGTTGTACACGACGCACAAAATCTCGCACAATGCGTTCACGCTTTCTCAACAGCATATGGGGATTAAAGAAAATAGCGAGACGAAGAAAAGCAAATTCCATATCATCCAAATCTAATGCTAGCGTCTCTTGAATGTAGGAATGTATGCGTGCTATGTGCTCACTGAGTTTTCGTATTTTTTGTGGTTCGATCTTGTCAACCTCTGCCAATTGTCGTACATTTGCCACGAGTGTGGTGATAATTGTGGTAATTGAAAGACTTCGCACCTGCGCCAAAGCTATCGAAAGCAACCCAGGCCAGCTAGCTCGTAACAATTTGATTTGCGTACGCGCATCGAGTTGATCGAATGCTGCTATTTTACGCATCCAATATATGCTAAGGAAAATTATGCGTGAACCAGTTTCGCATATATAATGCAGATTCAGATAGGCGGACATTAATGTGGGGGTTTGCAGATTGAAAGCACCCTGAGCGCTGGTCAATACTTCGTTCTCGAAGATACATTCATTTACGACGAACTCCTTTGTATTGTCCACACCAAGTATTGTTTCAGCTACTTCATATTCATCGTCAGCGCTGCTGTCTGCAAGGTTGAGAAGAAAAAAATAAACATTTTACAAAAAAATTTAAAATTTTTATAATATACAGTACGGGTAGCGTTCCTTGCATAAACGTGAACCGAATAAAGAAATAATTAAAGAATATTTATTCAGATTTTATAATGACCAGTAATTTTAAAGTTGGTGGTATAATTTTAATAGTTAATAAATACGCAATAAAAGATGACCTAATACCAACCTTCGCCCATGTCGTCATCGTTTATTTCATTTTTGATAGTAGGGGAGTTGCCCGCATTACCATTACCAGCTGCTAAGGACAAACGATCTAATTGATTTTGAATAGGGATCAGCAATTGCAACGCTTTCTCGATTACACATCTGTCCAATGCTGTTTGTATTTGCCCGACTGCCGTGGCAGGACTACGCATCGCTTCTATATTCAGATTTAAGTTTTGCGTATTGTTATTGTTTGCGTTGGAAGTTAAGTTTTGCAAACACGTAGTGCTGCTATTGTCCATAGACTCGTCATCATCGTCCTCTTCATCATCAGCTTTCGGTAAGTCTGGTGAAAAGTAAAGTGACTGGGGCGGGAGATTTTGAATGGGAACCTGTTTTTCTTGTTGGAAATTTTTTGCATTTTCTATAACTAAAAATAAATATTCGAATAATAAAGTTGTTGATTATGCATATGCTACACATGTTTATTATACTTTGTCTCATTTCGGCAAATGTTAGGTGAAAAGGTAAAGGTGGAACGGATACATCTGTGTTGTTTACAAATGCTGAAAATATTAGGTAATCTTACTGTAAATTAAGGAACAGATAGATAATTAATCTCACCTTGTCTCATTTCCGGCAGACTCATATTATAAGAGAATATAGAAGACTTTGAAGTAGTTGGTGCCTCAGACTTGTTGACAGTAGCAGTGTTTGTACTTAGATTGTGACCGAAGAGCAAACTCCCGCTGCCCGTTGCAGCAGTGTTAGCACTCAAAACGGCGGCAGCTGCCGCAGCATTGGTCACTGTTGAAGTGGATGATCCAGAAGATGAGCTTCCGGCGAACTCCTTCTTATCAACGATCGGCTTACGTTCATGTTGAACAGCTGTATTAAAGAAATTGTAAATAAATTTCTTTAATACTGAACACGAGGCAATAATGATAAATACATGTGATAATGAGCGTGAAAATGCTTCGTAAACTTCGACATATATATATCGTTGTATCTATTGGTAAAGTCGTATTGAATCCTACTATATTAAGTATTTGACTACAATCAAACTCATTATATTTAACTGTTTTAAGGTTAATTTCAATAGAGTGCATCAAAATAAAAATTGCATATGTATATATCAATATTCAGATACATTCTGTTTAGATAGGATTTTTTTTGTTTACTTTTAATTAAACGTTATTAAAAAAAATCCAAATTAAGATTCCATATATAGTGAGATAATCATTGCCAAACCTCTTTTTGACCTATTAGCTAAATCTTTGGCACGAAGCTATTGGGGGAAAAAATGTGTTGTCGAAATAAATGAAAATTATGTACAATCACTTCGCATTCCGCTGGCTAAACATTTCTGGAGGCGGCAGAATTGACAACGATTGCGATGATGTTTGGTAACTTCACAGTTCATGGATCCCCGACACTGATATCCCAATTGTTTGCGTATGGACCGCTTGAAAAAGCCTTTACAGCCTTCACATGATATAGCTCCATAATGCCGACCTATTAGATAACATACACTTTTATTACATTACAGATTATTACATATATACATATACATTATATTTGATAAAGTACCTGAAGCACGATCCCCACACACCAGACACGTTTCAATGCTCATATTGGTCGCTGTTGCTGTATTCGCTACACCACTACCACTTGTACCATTACCGCTTCCAGTAACGTGATGCACAATTGTTGCTGCTGTTTTGTTATCTACGAATACGGTGGAGAGTGAAATAGTAAACAATGACATACAACATGAAAAACGGTATGCGCTTACCTTCGTTTTTAAAACCACTTGCGCCCATATCTGACGAGATGCGTTAATATTAACACAATAGATGTTATAGATTTCCCTCTATATATTAATATAAAACTGAAGCCAAAGTGTGCGATTAATATATATACATATATATAATATTATATCAGCTCTGTATGTACCTATGACTGATTATTCTCACTGATTTATTTGTGTTCTTTTATGCTGCTTTCTGCTACATTGATGTTCTTGGGAGGTCGCTCAACTTCAGTTCATTCGAGGTCAATACTAACATAACTAACACATTTACATTGAAGCACTTAGCAAAACGTTAACTTTATCACGCCATATTTCCAATTGGACCATTAGAAACTCATTGAACGTAAAATATTAAAAAAAAATGTGAATAACTCCACTCAAATCACTAAATTAAGCTTCCTGCACATATTTTTCTTTCCGCTGTTGCACTTGCTGTCATTGAAGAGCAGGGTTGTATTGAAAATTAAAGCAAACAATTCTTAAAGATGTTACCAGGTATAATAATAATAATAATAATTTAAATTGTACTACTTGATATGCATTTTTTGGAGGTGATTAGAGAAATAGATAATATTTTTAATCAGTTATTTGATAGTTTGACCGAAATATTATACATTTATTAAGACTTTAAAGCATCTTTTGAACAATTATAAAAAATATAATATTATCGTGCTGAATCTAGATATCATATATTACCCAAATATTTATTGCAGACTTACGAAAATAATCATTTTTCTTTTATTTTAGTAAAAAGTTGTATAAGAAATATTACACTGGTAAACACTGTTTTTGCCATACGAACTTCGTGAAGATTTTTGTTTATGTGCTATTTAGACTATTTTGGATTTTCTGTGAGAAATTAAAATAAATTCTGCGTTCCATATTGTAAATGTTGTGTAAATTGTGCGAGACTGCTAATAGGTTAGGAGAAACAAGAACAAGAAATCATATGCCTTTTGCCATATCCGGGGTCGTAGAGAGAAACCGGGCCCAGGGAAAGAAAGAAAGTTGGGGCCTAGGGGTAGAAATAGCAAGAATGGACATTTAATAAGAAAACAGAAACAACTCATTCAAAATTTTATTTATCGATCTAATTAATGAAAAAACGGTTCTTTTGAAATCCGTTTAGTATCATGATTAAGTTTTTGAACATGAAGTTTAAAATCCTCCAATCTTAAATTTTTTGGAACTTAAAAATGAGCTTTTTGAGCTTTTGGCGAGAGCGAATGCGTCGATAATACAGTGTAGCCAGTCCTGAATTCCTGCCCAGTGACGAGCATGAACGATGAACATTTTTGAACCTTGCTAAAGCACTAAACGAACGGTCACCGCTTGAAGCAGAAACGGGTAAAGTTCAAAATATTCTCAAAGCGATGCAAATATTGGGGAAAAGTCTCCCTAATTTTCGAGCATTGATGGCATTCAATAAGACGGGTTTCAAACTTTACATCGTAAACATGTCTGCGGTGAACAGCTCCATTGGAGAACCTATCAGATACATTAACGGAATAATGATGAATAAATGATGGTAAATTCGTTTCGACATGCTTGGAATTCTCTGCAGCAAATGTGCATTTACTATAAATTGCTTTCCACTAGTTGCATAGAAATTGCAAATCCACAAGAAGGCTTTCTACATTTCTAACTTCAGCGTTCTCGCGGGGCATTGATCTCTTGCAGATCCATGTTTCTTTCATTGATTGGCTGAAGGATTTTAAACCACATGGAGGTCATCATGTCATCACTCAAATTTAATCATACATATATTTAAAAATTCTATCAACGTCCGGAGTCTAAAAACAAGACCTTCCAGAATATTCACGAAGGTCATAAGTATTTTTTCTATATATATTATTTTTAAAGAAATGCCATATATGTTTTGATGTCACAGGAAAACCTGTTGTGCCAAGTTTTTTCATTCATTATTGTTTAGTGGTCCTAGTACATTCAAAATTTGATATGAGTTTTCTTGTGATAAAAAAAAATTGAAATTTTATTAACCAATGTTATTATATCCTTTATTATTTATATTAATAGCCTTTCAAAAAAACCTTCAGAAACAATGTTTAGATCCATATTCTATTATTATTTTTCACGTAGAACCAATCAGGAATAATATTTCTAAGATTACTCTGATATACAGGTTGGTTGAAAAGTTCTTGCGCTCGAAATGAAAAAATGTTTTTGGTATGAAATATATTTTTTTGTTCAATATAATTTCTTTTAACTTCAATACACTTATTCCAATGATCCTCCAATAATTTTATGCCATCCCTATAATGACTTTTCGGAAGCTCTGCAAAATACCCGTCTATGGCTGTAATAGCTTCTTCATACGAAAAACGCTTTCCACGAAGGAATTGTTTTAGCTTTCTGATGAAGTAGTAGTCGCTGGTAGCCAAGTCTGGTGAATACAGTGGATACTCAAAGAATTCGTACTTTAATTCGTTGAATTTTGTCATTGTTAAAACATCTTTGTGATCAGGTGCATTGTCTTGAAAAAAAAATTTTTTTTGTGCTGCAAACCAGGTATTTTCTCACGAATTTTCCATAAGGCTACCATAATATTTAGAGTTTATTGTTTCGCCTTTCTACAGCTGACCTTAGTGACTTCACCTGCTTTGAAGTTGAACAACCAGCTTTAGTCCACTGTAAACGTTCTTGTTTCAATTTAGGATCAAGGTGGTAGATTCAAGTCTCATCCATCGTTATAAAACGACGCAATAAATCGGTTTTATTCTGCTTGAAAACCTCCAAATTATGCTGAAAATTTTATTTTCGATCCAGTTTTTGTTGAGTTGTTAACGTGTGCGGCGCTAGCTTTTCAAACCGCTTTTTCATATGTAATTCTCTATGTAAAATATTTAGGACTCGTTTGTCTGAGATGCTTATAGCATTAGCAATTTCACGCTAAGTCAAACTTGGATCTTCACTAATAATATTATGCTCAATCATTTTTTGGTGTGCTTGCGGGTTTTGGTCGTCCTTTCCGGGGATCGAGCCTAGTACGACCTTGTTTAAATTTACATGCCTAAAATTCAACGGTGAGTTTTGAAGGTGAGGACTTCTTATACACTTCTAACAATTGTTCATAAATTTCCTTTGCTTTTAAACCTTCAAAACAAAAAATCTAATCTATGGATAACATTATCCATGATCTAATCACTGCGCGATATTAAATTTTTTCCATATTAAAAAATACTCTGACACGTCAACTTCAAATGGCTTGAAAAGAAAGAATTAATTGAGAGAATGACTTGTAACTTTGCATGTTCTCATGACAGATGTACCAACTTGAGAAAAAATTTGGAGCTAGTAGTGCTATTTCTTGGTGAGACCAACCAACTTTTCAATCAACCTGTATTTACGTATTATAAGTATATGAAGATAAAAATAATTTATAATCCACTGAATGCATTTAAATTTCCAGACTTTAAAAACGAATGTGTATTTTAACTATTTCAACTGTTTGTACATATGGTGCAAAGAAAAAAAAGGGTATAAAAATTTGGTTAATAGCAACAATCAAATGTCAAACTGCGGCAAAGTACTGGCGACGCATTTTGGCGATGAACTCTGAATATTAAAAAATTCCGTCTAATTGCCCTGTCAGAGTTCCATATAGCACACACTTGCACATGCATACATATATACACAAACATACCTTAGAAGAACAGTGAAAGTCATCTGACCAGTAATATGACAGTCAAAGCTGAAAAAATTTTGTCAGCGCGCACAACAAAGTTTCTATACTTTTTTTAAGAGCCTTGTGCAAAAACTGATGTAAACAAGTGCATGTGTGTGATTTTGCATTTCTCTTTAACATATGGATTTTTTGGGAAATGATTCACTATATATCTATGTTGCCCACTCTTATGCTTTTTTCTGAGTCTGACAGTCATTTTACTGTTCATTTGGCTGTCAGTGGTAACAGTACTAAAGAATTTTGCTATTTCATTCATACATATGTAAAGCTATAGTAAGCAATATAAATCGTAAGTGTCTCTTTTTAACAATAACAGTGACGGTGAATCGACGGGTAAATTGATCGACAGTACTGACATACCAAATGTGAGTATATTGATGAACCCATCAGCAGTTTCGTGTAGGGATAAAATCTTACCGCCACCACAATACACGCATACATACATACTTTTCTGTTTATGGCTATGTCTCGTGGGTTCCCAATGATGAGTATGTAAGAGTATGTATGCATGTATGTATATGCGAAATGCCTCTTTGATAGTACAATTGACATTGAAATTATGGCCGTCAGTTGAAGTCCGCAAAATTGGCTATTTATTGCACGTGCAGCAAACGAGTTCACCAACTCGTCTTCTATCAATTATGAATTTATAAAAAAATTTAAAAAAGTAATGTTATTTTTGACTATTTCGTTAATGACAAGAAAGGTATACCCTTTACGAAACGAGATTTCAATACTTTTTGCCATGTTAAATATTAGGTTTAACGTAAAGCTCAGTAATGCAAATTTAGTTATTTAGTGCTAGGTAATTTTGATTTTTTTAAATTTATTACACATAATCTATCAAATTTAATTTTAACTATTCGCTCATCTTTTGTAGGTAGTAAATAAAGTGAAAACATTGAATGCACATGCTGTCGCGATTGGCGTAGGTGAGAGCAGTTCCGGTTTTGCTCAGAATGTATGCAAAAACGACTGGGAATTTTTGAAAAAAGCATGCATTACAATTTGATGATTTTTTTAATGCAAGTCAACTGAATTAATATTCATATCATGTTGGGCGAGTTGGCTACCATAAAATGCCTGCATACTGTTGTTAATTTCCAAATGTACAACATACATTTTTAAAAGGATTATGTTTAATGGCACAGAATTTGCTAAAAATATTATATACATGTACATGTATGTAAGTATATATTTACAAAATGAATATATGTACATACTTTATAACGATCTTGCCTATAGTGGTAATAACTAAGAAATTTTCTCAAATATGATATCGCTTGGATTTTGGCGTATAGCAGTGGCTATTTTGCAGAGATACTTGATTCTACAAAATTCCTTCTTAAAATATGCATGCTGCTCCTTGTTGCTATTTTTTCAGAAGCAGCACGCGAATTATACATATATTTAATTTTGTGTCTACTAATTATATATCAAGAAAACAACTTGATTCTTACCTTTCTTCAACCAGACTGCCGCTCACATCAACACGGCAACTCGAGCTTGCTGCTACATATGTATGTCCGGCTGTACCGCACATTCCAGAAAGTTCAAAGTATGCTGAGTCTGCGGATTGTGCCACGTATTGGCGGATCATGAGATGCGGTAAACTTACTTTCTTACTTTTTTTTCTTGAGATAAAAATAACAATAGTTGTACTTATTAATGTAATTATAATTACGGTGGCGCTAATGCCATAAGTTATATTCTTATGATAGTTAACTCTTATATTTCTTGGAGGTTTTAAAAATTATTTAGTACCATATTATCAAAGCTTACTTTTGTTTCATAAGTTTGATTCAACCTCCTCACAGGATGTACAAGTTTCTCAATAAATTTGGTTTTGTTGTTACTAAAACTTTCTTGATTAATCTTTATTGTACAATTTACGAAATTTATTATATAACATAATTATATTGCAATATAAAGTTCCTTTCATCACAAGTTTCGTTATGTGCATTCTTCATTATTAAGGTGTCATCACTTATTTCATGAATTAGTGTTCTATTATTATACATAAATGCACAATCATCAGAAAAGATACAATCCTTGCTCAGCTTTAATTTAACATTTTTTTCAAAAAGTGGGCGTGGTCCCGTCCCCTTATGAACTTAATGTGCATATCTCCTAAACCGCTAAAGCTATAATAACAAACTTGACTGAGAACAAGGTATCTTTGTGCCTAAAAAGGATGAAATCAGGTGAAAATTTTACCTAGCCCTCATGCAAATAATATCAGGATTTTCGAACATTCGTCTGACTTTACTCCATATGATTGCTGATGGTATGTGCGGTACCTTAATGAAACAGTGGGAGCATTTTATTAGTCTGTGGCATGTTAGTATTAATACTACCCTCTACTTCCATACTTTTAATACTCTTCGTTATTCTAGCCAGTTTTATGCCGAATATGTCGAGTTTGGTCGAGTTAATATTACATTCATACTTATATATATGTATCTCACTTCAAGATGTCAACCTAGATGAAGAAATCAAGAAGATAGGAAATGTGATTGTAATTTAATCACGATTTCATTTAATAATGGATGTTTAATTCTTTCTCATCATTTTTTAAAATAAGGTTTTGCCACATCTCCTGGCCTTTGATTCTTGCGAATTTCAAGTGTATAAAATTCTCGGTTCCGTCCTAGTACTCATTATCGGGAATATATTGACCCTAGCTCCAACATATTTTATGTAAAAAATTCCAACTTCCATTTGGCTTTATATAAACGTAAAATATTAGATATACAATAGTTTAATGCCGAAAATGTGTGAAATGTTTAATCCTTATAACCCGAATATACTGATTTCCGCTCCTCTGGTACAACAGCAACCTCATATACCACATATTAAATCTAACCCCTTTGGTTAGCTTATATCTCATATAGCATGTTTGAGTTAAATAGCTTCTTTTTTGTTAAAGTTAACATTTTGGAGCAAAAAATAGTATTGACACTAAATAAATCTATGATCAATAGCATAAGTTAATAAGATACCAAATAAAAATAGAACAATAAATGTTAAATTCTTTCGCAACATTTTTTTTACTTTCGCAGCATGTTGCAACAGAGTATAGTTTTGTTTACCAAACGGTTGTTTGCATCACTTAAAACTAATCGAGATAGATATAGATTTCTATATACAAATATTTCTTCTAATATTTGGTGATAAACAGTAGATACGTATATTTTCTCAGCCATCATGTTGAACTTATAACAAAATATACCAGACAACAATGTATTGTAAAACAGTTTCTCAGAGTGCTGGACTTTGTATAGAGCAA